CAGAACCAGTAGTAAAAAAAATTAGAACCCACCCCTGGTTATAAGAGAGGTGAAATACTTACAAAAGGAATAATTATCCAATTCATCAAAAGCATTTTTAAAAATCATCCTTTTCCAGCTGCTACACACACATACACACACACACAAAATAGCAGGAGAAATGGCAGGAAGCAGCAGTGTCTCAGTCCTGCCACTATTGTGAGGGCTGAAAAAGTGTCTACTTCCTGAACAACCTTGAGGTAAGCCAGATGAATAGATCAGGCAACTTAGTCCCTGATGCCTTGAACACGTCCTGTGGAAGAGCAAGGCAAGTGTCTTAGCCTAGTTCCAGGATATTGTGAAATATTTCTTTCATTTTACAATAATCCTCTTTTTTCCACGTATATCATGGCCTTTTGGAATAGAACACTTGATTCTGTTCCAAACATAATTAGTTTATGTAGTTGGCTGTGTTTTTTCTTTTACAAAACGAGGGGCCCATCAGTGCACTGATGATGTTACCTACCTTTAGGTAGTGAACTGTCTGCAAGAAAACATCCAAGCTCAGAGAGCACCAAGGACCCCTCATTTTAACACTGAGCTACAAATATTCTTTTATAAAAACCGAAAAGCTGCAATTTGTAGATGCACAGTGGGTAGCTATTAATGTACTGATTTTTTTTTGGGCTGTCTTTTCTGTCTTTGTTCCATTTGTCTTTTGCGCATTGATCCTAGGTGCCAGACATCTTTGATACGGAATATGTGGCTTGTCAATTGAGACATTTGGGGATTTTAGAAGCCATTTGTCTCAGGAAAGGAGGCTATCCTATCCGCCTCTCATTCCACCACTTCCTAACTAGGTAAAGGTGTTCCTTCTTTTTACTGTATCAGCACACCGTAATTTATTTAAAGCATTTGTGTTTACTTCCATTTTAATCTTTCTTGAAGTAACTTCTTGTAAAATTCAACTTAAAAAATATTGCCTAATGTATTGGAATAAAACATACAAAATAAACAATACGCAATGAAATAATAAATCAGAACAGAGAGTAAAAACAGCAGTGAAAAGTCTAAACTATCGGAGCCAACTTTGCATCTTATTAAATGACCCGGAACAGTGATGGGTTTCAAAATTTTTTACTACCGGTTCTGTGGGTGTGGCATGGCTTGGTGGGTGTGGCAGGGAAAGGATACTGTAAAATCTCCATTCTCACCCCACTCCGGGGAAGGTTACTGCAAAATCCCCATTTCCTCCCAATCAGTTGGGACTTGGGAGGCAGAGAATAGATGGGGGTGGGGCCAGTCAGAATTTTTACTACCAGTTCTCCGAACTACTCAAAATTTCCACTACTGGTTCTCCAGAACTGTCAGAACCTGCTGAAACCCACCTCTGACCTGGGAGAATAGCCTTTTCAACGCTGAAAAGGCTTTGCTTCTGCTACTTGGGTCCCAGCCATGAAAATCAAGTTCAAGATTACCGTTGCCAATTCAGAGAAGCAGAATGGGCAATCTACTAGTAGAATCTGCAGCCTGCTACTGAATCTGCAGGGCAGAGAGAGAGAGAGAGATTTCTCTCCCCGCCAATTTGAGAGAGAAATATTATTCATTGACCTGACATTTAGCAGCAGCACCTGCAGGGCAGAGAAAAGGGCAGAATGGCTATTTCTAGGCAAGAAAATAACCTAACCAGTTACTCCTGCAATTGATATACTTTCCTCTGCCTTTAATTATCTTAATTGGAGCCTCCCCCCACCTCATCCCTCACCAAGATATTGTACGATTCTCTCAGACACATAAAGTAAACATCTGCAATGGTTTGTGGGGATATCCTTGAGAGGCAGGAGGAGGAACAGCTCCAGCCAAGCAGTGGTCAGATAAGAGATATTTGCCTCTGAAGTGCTTGGATTTGTGTGTACTTTCTCTGACTATATCTTGTAAGACTGGAGTTATTTGGGAAGTGAGCATTATCTTCCTTTGTGTGTCTCAGGTATGGAGTTCTGGCTGGCCAAGATCCCAGCTGCCTGCAGAAGAGAGATAGCTGTGCTGCTGTGCTTTCCCATGTGGTGGGAGATATCTCAGAGCTTTATCAGATTGGAGTCACCAAGGTAGATGTCTAAGTGCCTCCTTACTGTTTGGCTTTAGAAAGCTCAAATATGGATATTGGTTTCACTGGCTCATCCTGAATAGATACTCCCTCACATACTTCCAAAATTTAGAGTGAGCCTTATGGTCATATTTTAGGATGCTGTTTTATTGAAAAGGATTTCTCCAGATTCTATTGTCACATTTCGATTCTCATTCTGTTCCTTGGCATAGTGGCATCCATTTTTCTCCCATTCTTAAGAATATTTTTTACATATTGCATATGGAAAGGCATAATTGTGAGACTAGTCACCTGTTCAATACCTTATTGCCTCACTTGTTTTAACTCTTAGACTACTGGTAAAAAAAACATTTTTTAACAAAGAGTTTTCTGTGACTGCTGGCTACTGCATTTATTGGTGTAATTACTATAAATATATTTTTATTCTTTTATTGTATTCTATTTCTTTTACTGTCCTTGATGACCAAGGTGAATCATTAATCAAATTGATAAAATGTAGATGCCTTTGACATGAATATAGTAAAATACATTGATTTCTTAAGCCATCATATTTCATGAGTGGAATAAAGATTGTTAAAATTAATTAAACAACTTCTATCCCACCCGCTTATCCCTTGTTTTAGACAAATAACACAGTAAGGGTGTGAAGTTATCTATGTGTTAGGTAACCTCCCATTTTTTTATTGTCAGTGCTTTTGGCTATTTTTTTTTTCAGGTGTTCTTGAAAGAAAAGACATGGCAGATGCTAGAGAAGCAGCGAAATCAAAAGCTGACATGGGCCATTGTCACCCTCCAGCGCTATCTCCGAGGGCTCATCAACCGTCAACAGTTCCAGGTCTTCAGGCAGAAAATCACAGTGATCCAGGCTCACTTCCGAGGTCATCTGGCAAGGTCAAGAAACAATGATCAAGCAGGCAGGGCTCACACCGTATAATGCTCCTAATATTGAAGGAAACTCCATTACTTTTGATGACAACTGGGTTGTCAACTTTTGATGTCAAATGGGTTATGGTGGCTTTACCCAACAGAGGTTTTCAAAGTCTCTTGTTTTCTAACTTTACTCTTTCTTTGTAAACTTCAGAAAACGATACCAAAGGCTGAAGAAAACTCTGCTACACTTTGGGGTGGCTGTACTTGTTTCTGCAAACCTGGTTCCCAAAATGAGGGAATGCAAGGTAACAAAATTATTGACAATGAGTGGGGAAAGTTTAAAAATAACTGTCTTCCTGAAGTGCCACATTATTAGCAGAAAAAGGAGAAATAATCAACCATTTATTCAACAATTGTTAAAGCTCAACTTTACCTGAAAGAGGAACATTGAACAATAGAAAAGCAAAGATTTTTATAGAAATTAGAGGGGTGCAGGTAGGAAATCCTAGGAATCTGATTTGTTACCAGTTTTTTGGGGGAAATGGAACAGGTCCTCCTCCTCCTATATGAGGTTATTTCTGTTGTTAAGCCCTTTCAGGCGTGCACCAGAGCTTGGGAAGCCCATTGTTAAGGAAATTAATCTTAAAGTAGTCAGAGGAGTGTCTCTGATTGATAGTTGAGGTTTCACTATGTCGTAATTCCTTTATTAAGGCTGCCCTTGTGCTATGGGCTGTTGTGGAGGCTTTTATTCTTTGCTTTAGATGGGATTGCAGCAGGGTTGGTCTGGGGGCAGGGAGGGTCAGTTGGATCTGATAGGATTAGGCAAAGACAGGAGCTGGGTTTGACCTGGTCATGTCCAAAAGACAGGGAAGTGTCTCAAAAGGGTGCGGCCTCAATTTTATATGTTACATTTATTTTCTGACTAAAAAAAGCTCTTTTAATAAAAGGAAACAATAAACAAAACTTTGCTGTGAGCGGGAGAAACATTATGCCGGGGGTGGGTGGGGGTGTATTATGGGGAATATGGTAGATAAAGTAATCACACTTTCCCATCCTCCCAAATGTTGCCAGAATATGTCACTATCTGTATCTGTATGATTAGCATTCTGTGGTGAAAACAGAAAACAGTTATGGACTCCCTCTTCTTTGTGGCAACCCCTGAGATATTGGAACCCTGTTATCATGTCACCCCTAGTCCTTCTTTTCATTAAACTAGACATACCCAGTTCCAGCAACCATTCTTCATATGTTTTAGCCTCCATTCCCCTAATCATCTTTGTTGCTCTTCTCTGCACTCTTTCTAGAATCTCCACATCAGAGGTGGGTTTCAGCAGGTTCTGACCAGTTCTGGAGAACCAGTAGCAGAAATTTTGAGTAGTTCGGAGAACCGGTAGTAAAAATTCTGACTGGCCCCACCCCCATCTACTCTCTGCCTCCCAAGTCCCAGCTGATCAGGAGGAAATGGGGATTTTGCAGTAACCTTCCCCTGGATTGGGGAGGGAATGGAGGTTTTACAGTATCCTTCTCCTGCCACGCCCACCATGCCACACCCACCAAGCCATGCCACGCCCACCAAGCCACACCCACAGAATCAGTAGTAAAAAAGTTTGAAACCCACCACTGCTCCACATCTTTTTTACATCGTGGCAACCAAAACTGCTTTTTTAAATTTTATAATTAAATAAAATCCAATAATTTACCCGAGAAAGTACCAGGAAAATGTCCACTGCAGGCCCAGCTTGTTATGGATTTCTAACTTCTGTTCCTAGCTTAGGTGTGTGTCCTGCACATATTCTTCCTTCTTATACTGGCTCCCTGTGATTCTGTGTTAGGAACAAAGCAAGGTTATGCCTTTGCTTCATCAGCCCTGCCCTCTGTGTTTAGTGTATGACATGGGAGATTTTATGGGAGGCTTACCACAATAAAAGGTCTCAAAGTTCACTATCAGAGTTGCAGATCCTCCCTGTTCTTTTTCCTCCTGTCAGTACTGTGTTGGAAGGACTTTAGCACTCTTTTAGTCTTAACCAGGCAGCTAGTTGTATCTGTTAACTGCCACTGAAAAACCGGGCTGTAGGGAAGAAGAGGAAAAATACCCAATATATCACTTAACAGCAAAACTGGTAAGTACCTTTGGGGAAGATTGATTTATAGACAGAAAAGACAAAGCCAGGGAGGAGCTGGTTATTGTAGTTCAATCTGTCACACTTTGGAGGAAAAAGAAACGTGATGCGTCTTTTCCAGAACTAGTTAAAATATTTTCAGTTACCTTCTTCAGGGGTTTGAATAGTAGAGGAGGAAGGTGAAATGAATACCTTTTCTGAGTCAAACTGGCAGTTGCAATTACACACTTCATATATAATATTATGTTAATTCACTTACTAGTTAATAAACAGAGCTTGGGTTTGAATGGGAGTGAGCAAAATATTCTCTCTCTCTCTCTCTCTCTCTCTCTCTCTCCCTCTCTCTCCCTCTCTCTCTGAATGTATATATATACCGGTATAGATTTATTTCTATTTTGAGCATTTAAAACTTCTGGGAGTTTCATATTCTATAGCTAATGGTATCTCATATTCCTATTACACTTTCCCTCTGCCCTCTTTCCTTGAGGAAGAAATCAAAATCTTTTTTAAACTGGGTGCGTGCTTTTAATGGATAAAGATGTTGCTATGAACATTTATTTGCATGGTAACTAACATTCTGTGGATAATGGGTGGTGGATGTACGGTATATATATAGCATTGTCACAACAGTACTAAAGTACAGTGCACACATTGTTAATTGTGAAAGTAAAAATTTGGAAGACAAGCCAGAGGTGAGGGAAGAGAGAAAACATAACTTTCCATAAAGTGTATGGAAAGTCTATGGGATTTCCATAAGGTCATCTTGTTTATTTTTTCAATTGCTTCTTCATGTAAGATGGAAATTGGACTAAATATATATGCTGCAATATAAGTCTATATAATTTACAAGAAACAAAGAATTTAGTTCTCTTTTTCACAGTGCTAAGATTTTTTTGAAAGAATCTAGCTTGATCATGCATACTGTTTTGTTTTGTTTTTAACTATCCTTGTTCCAGAGGTCTGAGGACCGAAAACAGAGAAACAAGTCACTGGTCAAAGGTACTGAAGATAGCAGGAGTTGCCTGGAAATGGTAGGTTAAATTGATAAAGTACTGGGTGTCATCCGGCAACACCCAAAACTGTACATGCATACATTTATTATTGTGCATTGCTGGATCATGTGTGGAAGTGGGAACATTTTCTCTCTCTCTCTCTGTATGTGAATTTTGAATTTCCAAGTATGATGGCATAGTATGCAAAGACATTTATTTATTTGACTTGTATGGCCATCCATTAAAAATACAATTCAAGGTGGCTCATAACAATTATTCAATTATTCAATTGTTATGAGGGTCTTCTAGTCCAACCCCCTGCTCAAGCAGGAAACCCTATACCATTTCAGACAAATAGTTGTCCAATCTCTTCTCTAAAAAACTCCAGTTTTGGAGCACCCACAACTTCTGGAGGTAAATCATTCCACCAAGTAATTATACAGGAAATTTCTCCTTAGTTCTAGGTTGGTTTTCTCACTGATTGGTTTCCATCCTGTGCTTCTTGTCCTGCCTTCAGGTGCTTTGATCTATAAGGCATTATCTTCTGTTTGCATCCTTTCTGTGTTCTCCCATTGCTTATTCCACTTTTCCTTCCCATTTAGAAAACAGTATAATAGCTGCACAGATATTAACTGATAGCTCTATGAGCCCCTCCAGCTAGAAGATCTTCCAATCCCAGGAACAAAAATGAAGAACAGGAAGTGTTCATAGAACCAGAATCTAGCATTGCAATTAAGGGATTAATCACAGAATTCACATACATCCTGGTTTGACTGCAATTTGACCTGATCTTGGGCTCCACTGTGGCTGGCCTTTGTGAGCTGATAGACACAGACAGACAGACAGACAGACAGACAAATATAGATCAGTGGTGGGTTGCTTCACGCGCACCCACGAGTGAACCAGTAGCGACGGGATTTGAATCCCACTACTGATATAGATAGATACAGAAATAGAGATAAAAACATCATTAACACATAATGCGGTGGAGACAGCTCAGATCTACCTCTGCTTACACTGCTTCAATTTAGAACTGATCATTTTATCATTTGAGTCTACAACCCCTGGGGCTAGATTATAATAGGAACTTGTTCTCTCAACAGCTGATATGATACCGAATGTTGCAACCGTCAACATCATGGCTTGGAAATCTAAAAATAACATTAAATATCTAAAAAAAAAAATTATGAGCCATGAATCCAAAATATATGGAAAATTCAGTAAGTAACCAGGAAAAAAAAAGTTATTAGATGAACCTAAATTGACTGAAGCTTAACAAGGTGCTTTTTCTAGGACATTTGACCACCTACAAAAATAAACTCTTTAAGGCAGGTGCCTTTTGACTCCTTTCTTTAGAATGTATATACAATTCTATGCAATTCTATACTATGTTTCTCAAATTGCCCGATTGATGACTTTTAAAATTATTGTTAATGTTTTCCTCATAAATCGGATTCATGATTTATTTGTATAGGCTTATTATGAAAGTGAGGGTTTTAGTATTATTTTTTTTTATTTAATCAAATAAACTGCATTTTACATGAGGAGAGGAATTAAACCAACATAGTACCTTTACTTCTGTTTCTTCTTCTTAGGATGTCCGACGGCTCGAAATTCCTGCTGAGCTTGCAGCTCTCCTCCACTTGGCTCAGGGTGAGTAGAGTGCCTTGGGCTTGCATTGGAATTAAGACGGCATCCTTGACCTGCTAAATGTTTTCAGTTCACTTCCAAAGAACAGGTTTAAAGATAAACCTAAAGATCATTTTAAAAATTAGGATCCCCCCCCACGAGTATTTTCCTGCTGTTCTCCATCTGCTTGAATATTTTCTAAGTACTTCAGATCCAAGGGAGGTTGTTTTTATCTGATAATATGACTTCTCATTTTAAATGTGAAATTTAGAAAAAGTATTTAAAGGTTGAACTTAATTTGATAATCCCCAAGGTACATGTATATTCAATGTGTAACCGGTTGTAAATGAGAGCTGATTGCCAAGTGCCCAAATTGCAGTCACATGACCATGAGGGTGGTGTGATAGTGATAAGCAAGTACAGGTTATAAATCACTTATTTCAAGGCTGTGATAAATTTGAACTCTCATTAACAGCAATAAGTCAAGGACTACCTGTACAGTAGTGGACTTAGAATTGATTATGAAGGTGTTAAACTGATTGTTTCGGTTTTATTGGTTCAAGAATAAAGACAGAGAGCCTATTAAAGAAATAAGAAGGAACTTAATCCTATAGAAGACAGTGACAAACATAGAAAAGGACATGAAGGACGTCTTAATGGAATTATTAAAGCAATGGTATTTCTGGTAATAATAGGTGTATCGTAAAATCTCTACAGTGAGAAAGGATGAGAGAAAGAAAATAAACATCTTCAAATTACAAATGTGGAGATGATAATTAAGTACACTGTGGATCGCAAGGAGAACCATCAATCCATTCTGGATCAAAAAAGGAATGGATGCTTTTGTGATCAACAAGCACAAATGTCTTATTTTAGGGTCAAAATCAGGTGTGATTCACTTTATATGTTACAATTGCCTTGCATATAAGTGAAATATTGTCAGCAGATCACTAGGAAAAATTATTGTGCAATGGAAAGAAGATAGAAACAGAAGAACAGATATGATGTCAAACAGATCATTGGAATGTCTTTGGAGGGGCTATGAATTGAGGGGGTCCTTGGTGCTCTCTGAGCTTGCTTGTTTTCATCAGTACTGATGATATTACCTAGTTTGAGTAATAAAATGTTTGCAAGAAAACAAGCAAGCTCAGAGAGCACCAGGGACCCCTCATTTCAAACCTGAGCTACAAATATTCTGCTTTATTGGAGCTATTAATTATTTCTAGAGGCAAGTTAGAACAGTGAGCATTTATCCATAAAGTCACCACACTAAAAGTCAAGGGTGACTCAATGACACCTAACCAACGTGGATACAGTGATGGCTTGTTTAATGCAACATCTGTTCTTTTAAAAGTGTTTGTTTTATATTCAAATTCCTCAGACTAAAAACAGGTTACTTACTATCCTAAGTCTCTCTGTCTCAGCACACCTTGTTTGAGCTTGGGAACTAAGCAGGAGAATTCCAAAGCTATAGGCTAGACTGGGATGTTGAAAAACATCCTGGAATAAGGTAATAACAAATTGCTTCTGCATTGCTGCCAAAACTGTATTGCTACATATCCTATGAATATGTTAATTTAATTTAATTTAAATTTAATTTGTATTTTTATTATCATTTTATTGTGTGGAGGGGTATGTGTGTGTGTGATTTATTTTGATATTGTAAGCTCCCCAGAGTTGCCTTGCAATGACATAGGCATAAACAAATTAACAAACAAGCAAACAAACAAACAATGTAGATACTGGGAGGTAAACTTGACTTAAAGGAAATGTTAACTTTTTCAAAAGAAGTCTTCCATACTTCATTTCTAATGCTGAAATTATACTTGGATATACTGCTTGCTCTTCTTAAGATTATACATATCAAGACATGTATATGTACATAAGTCATGCAAAGAGAATCACAGTTGGGGCACCTGGTTTTTCATTCTCATGTTGTGTGCTTGCATAAGCATGCCTTCGTTATATTGAAAGATAATGCTATCCTATACAAAATATTGTCTCCGGTCCACACCGATCCTGAACTGGGGAAAAGGATCTATGGCGCAATCATCAGACTTTTTGCAGATAACATCTCAAGCATTTTCTCTAGGGATAATTCCTTGATACACTAAACTCCTTTGGCAGTTCCTATGAATTCTGTTGTAAAGCATTATTAAACCCTGGGAATAAAGCATTATTAATGCCTGGGAAGCATTAAAGGGGAGAAGGAAGAATACCTGAGAGTAATGCGCCCTTCATAGATCCATTCCTTTCACAAAGATGAGGAGGATCTGGCAACCAATAGCTCACCTCAGCTTCTGCTCCAGAGGGTGTGGTCCAAAGACAGTTTTACAGCATCCCCTCTGGAGATACATAATGGTGGTTTTCCACTGGGGGGCAGTATTGCCTCATCCTGTCTCCTTGCTCCATCGAGTTCGCACTTGAAGCCAAAGAGCTGTAGCATCTTCTTCCCTTCTTCCTATTGCTCTCAGGAATAGTTTTATTTTTCTTCAGCATTGTGGCTGGTTGTTCTCTCCCACTATAAAATGGACATGTGAGAGAAGAGTAAAAACAGAGGCAAAGAGCCAGCTGACTAACACTTTCTATGTCCCTCCCGTTGGCCAATTGCAGGGTTGTTTTTTGAGTTTTTAAATAGTAAACGTCTATAGATTCACAAATAGAAGAAATGGATAGAGCAAGTTCTTAAACAAAGTCATAAAAGAAAACATCCAGCATTTTTATAGGACACATCTTTCTCTCTAGAGAGCCGAAATACTATTCGCCATATCACTGCAATTGTCCCCGTACTCATAGGTTGCAACGAAATAGTAACAATCACAGTAGATAGTCCTCAATTTATGACCACAATTGGAAATGGAATTTTCCTCTCCAAGCAAGGCAGTTTTAAAGTGAATCACGCCTGATTTTATAACCCTTTTGGTCATATTTGTTAAGTGAATCACTGCAGTTAAGTGAACGATATGGTTGTTAAATGAATCCATTTCATCCCATTAACTTTGCTTGTTTGAAGTCATCTGGAAAGGTTGCACAAAGTGATCACATGACCCTCCCAATACTGCATAAATACCGTGTTTAAAATAAGACCGGGTCTTATATTAATTTTTGCTCCAAAAGACGCATTAGGTCTTATTTTCCGGTTAGGTCTTATTTTGGGGGAAATACGGTACTAAATGCATCCATCTGGGTGACAATCTTAACTGGGGCTTATTTTGTGGGTAGGGCTTATATTATGAACATCCTGAAAAATCATGCTAGGACTTATTTTCCGATTGAGTGAAAGAGGGTACATGCCAAGTGCCCAAACTTTGATCACTTGACCATATAAATGTTGTAATGGTCGTAAGTATGATGTCCAATCATATGCCATTTTTTCAGTGAAGTTGTTTTGAACAGTCACTAAACAAATGGTTGCAAGTCAAGGACTTTCTGTAATCACATGGAAACCTTGTTCACCAAAATATCACTGAGTGTGTTGAGCAGCCTTTTCATATTTCGTAGTGGCCATCTATAAAGCCCATATAATTTGGACTTCAGCTACTGCTGGATTGGAGAAAAATAATTCCATGGTCAAAGTCAGTGGGCAAGATTCCTTGGCTGAAAAAAAAAATTCTCTGAAATAACTAGCATCTATTCTATAAGCATGTCCCACTAGCTAGAATTCTTATTCTAGCTCAGCCAGATAACATTTTGACAACCTAAAAGGAATTAAAAATATATCACAGTCAATGTAATACAACCTTTGTCTCCTTTATATTGATGGATTTACCACTCCTTAAATTCTCTGCAACGGTCATGCTGCTAATGAATTCCAGGAATTGAAGAGGGCCCCCCGGATTGGGATGGCCAATCTGCTTATTCCTGGAGCTTGTTGATTGCAACATGCTATGTTCATACATGTAAACACTGGCCATTGCAGCATGGGAGATTTATATCACATTGCTGCCAGGAAAAATACATGGGCATATCCCTAAACTGAAAATAACTTTTCATTTCATGGGTTAATTTACACTCGCTTTTCACATGGGGAAGAGCTTTAACTTAGTCCCTTTTCCATCTTTTTTAGATCACAATCATGCTCAGAGTAATCAAGTCACTGAGGTGTCCCTTCCAGAAGTCAAAGCAAAGGCTACTTTCTCTCTCCCTCATGATATTAACAACTTTCCCTTCTCTACATTTATCAACACTCACTTCCAGGTAAGACTGCAGAATCAGTAAACAAGTTTCTCCTGATTTCTTTATGGCCAGAACGGTCTCTAGGCTCCTTTTTCCTGTTTCTTGTCTGTTGGATGGACAAGGTAGATCTTGTGAGTGAGGTGGACTGCAGCCTTGTCATCTCATCTTCCAGCCTACTGGGCATCTAAACTTTGGCTGCCATTACATATGTGAAAAAGGTTCTTTGGCTTATGCTTGCCTACCTGTCAACAAATGCTAGCAAGCAGGAGACTGTGAGTTCAAGTCTTGCCTTAGCCATGAAAGCCAACTCGGTGGTCATTGGCCAGTCACACTGTCTTAGTTCAACCCACTTCACAAGGTTGTTGTTGTGAGAAAAATAAGAGGAGGAAGGTGTGTTGGATATGATCACTGCCCTGAGTTATTTGTAAAGATAATAAAAGTGGGCTACAAATAAATGCATAAATAAAATAGATGCATGTGGGGAAAAAATGTGACCTAAATGCTTGTAGTGCCATGGGAGCATGGCTCCCACCATCTGTCTGTCTTTGGTCCTTTGTAGATTGTGAGTTTTCCAGCCCTTGGACAGCCCTTGCAAGAGCCTTTGACCCAACTCCAGACTGAGCACAGACAAAATGCTCTACAGCTCAACAAGCTGGTAAGAAGAAACAACGAAGCAACTGAACCTGCAACCTGAAACTACTTCCCTGGTTTGATAAAAAAATTAAATCAAATCCAGTTTAAATCCAGTACGTGATTTAAATAAAGACACAGATTTAACGAACTAAACTTATGAAGACTCTTGAGGATCGTATGCTATTTCAGGTTAGAGGGAGCTTCCAGGAGCTTCAAGGTCTTACTCAGGCTTTTACTCCTGTTCTGTAATAGAAGGATTTCAAGGAGCTTCCAAGGAAGGGATGACCCGACCAGGCCCAACGTCTTCTAGATGCATTTGTAGTTCAATGGCCTATAATGGAATTTAGAAAAAGTGGGTTTCAGCAGTTAAGAATAACAAGAAAGGTTTGTGCTTGTGCCTAAACTGGATCCTGTACAAGTGTCAGCCCCATCTTCTCCTTTCAGAAATGACTTCAGAGATCAGATGGGAGAATGGATATATCTTTAGTAAGACATCTTCTCATTTGCCAGTCTTCCCTTCTTCCTACTGCTCAGTGCAGCATGGAGCTATTGGTGAAAAGAATGGGACAGAAGGAACTGGGGGAGCAATTTTGAAAACTCAATTTTGAGTTTCTTCTACCCTATGCAGCTTCTCTGGCTATTCGCAACAAAATCTTGCCTCTCGATTGTTTTCACAATTTCCTCTCTATTTATGTAGAATTTTTTTGTCCCGAGACCACAGGATTTCTTGGGATCTGTTATCTAAATTGTGTTTAGAATTGTGCCTAAAGGCTCAGACAACCTTTCTGTGGGTCAAGTATGACTGGGAAGCTATCATAATAGACCTTTGATAAGTGACTTTGTCCAGAAACTTCATATGGCCTTTTAAAACTTATTGAGTAGTCCTTATCTGTCCTCAGGTTTCTGTTCTTATCTAATGGGCCTGTACAGAAAGTGGCTCATTACTCGGGTGTGATGACATTCAAGAGGCAACTGATAAGATAAGAATCTCAGCAACAATGTAGTTAATATATTACCTTTATCAGGTGTTTATTTTATGTAGCTAGATATGTCATAATTTTATAATCTTGGAAGAAGAAAACATACTTTTTAATCATTGTTAATTATACTATTTTCTTTTAAACATTTCAATTGGATTTTTTTTCTTATAAAAAGAAGGAAAACCACATTTTACTGTTGCTGATACCTAGATATATTACAGGTAGTACTCTGAGGATAGAAACAGAAAAGAAAGAATAGGAATAACACACTAATTCTAAATTCCTAATAATCAATATATCTGATTATCTCCTGCTATATTTCTTGGTCAGTTGCAGAGGTGGGTTTCAGCAGGTTCTGACCAGTTCTGGAGAACTGGTAGCAGAAATTTTGAGTAGTTCGGAGAAACGGTAGTAAAAATTCTGACTGGCCCCGTCCCCATCTATTCTCTGCCTCCCGAGTCCCAGCTGATCGGGAGGAAATGGGGATTTTGCAGTAACCTTCCCCTGGAGTGGGGAGGGAATGGAGATTTTACAGTTTCCTTCCCCTTCCACGCCCACTAAGTCACACCCCAGAACTGGTAGTAAAAAAATTTGAATCCCACCGCCGGTCAGCTGCAATAAGAAAAATAAGCCTACTTCGCTAACATGGATAGAAAAGGAAAACAATCTCCAGAACTTATAGGTTACTGGCAGAACTCACATTTTAGTGTGTAGAAAGTCTCAGGTTCAATTCCTGGCATCTCCAGTTTAAGTTTAGTGATAGAGAGGAAGAATTATATTTTCAAGAAAAGCTGAAGTTTTGGGACATTTTCAGAATTACAGCCTGCCAAAATAGAACTATAAATTGATTCTGTGCTTGCATTCTATCCAATGTGTAGGTTCCATAATGTAATCCTCATTTCTATACAATAGGTGGGGTATGTGCGCTAAATCTTTCTTTTAAGAAGTCCCAGGCTCTTGTGCCCTGGGGATAACCTAGCCCTGACTTCTTGCAAGGATGGTAAGAAGGGGTCAGAGATGAGGTTACTCTGATTTTTCCTTCTATATCTGACATCAATGCCCCTTGTTTTTATTGTACATCCCCTCCTCTTCCTGCAGGTTTTGCGATTCATCAATGACCAGGATTTGCAGGGCATCCACGAACAGCTTCTAGGCAACTACATAGCAAGCCGGGGACTGGCCAGCCTCCCACTACGCAATGAGCTGCTGAGCCAAGTGGCCACCCAGCTGTGGAAAAACCCAGATCTGGAGCAATGCCAACGAGGCTGGGTATTGATGGCTACCCTCCTGAGTGCCTTCGCGCCTTCACCAGCTCTGGAGAAGCCTCTGCTGAAGTAAGAAGTGGGTTTTTTTCCTCCCTGGGTTTCGGGAAGCATTGAAATAGCAGCAGTGGTTACTGAAGGCTCTTCAGGACCGGGACGCCTTGCGCACGGTCACTCACGCCTTTGTCACCTCCCGGCTGGACTATTGTAATGCTCTCTACATGGAAGAGCACTCGGAGGCTCCAACTGAAGAGCACTTGGAGGCTCCAACTGGTCCAGAATGCGGCCGCGCGGGTGGTTATGGGCGCAACTCATTGTGCCCACGTGACACCCCTCCTGCGCAAGCTGCACTGGCTCCCAGTGGTCTTCCGGGTGCGATTCAAGGTGTTGGTCACCACCTTTAAAGCGCTCCATAGCATAGGACCCGGGTACCTTCAAGACCGACTTCTGCCACCAGTAGCCTCTCACCGGCAAGTTCGCTCCCACAGAGAGGGTCTCCTCAGGGTGCAATCGGCCAAGTTATGTCAGCTGGTGACACCCAGGGGGAGGGCCTTCTCTGTGGGAGCCCCAGCCCTGTGGAATGAACTGCCCCCGGAAGTGCGTAAGATCTCCGACCTCCGGGTATTTCGCTCTGCACTCAAGACCCTGTTGTTCCCGCCAGGCCAGGCTATCAACATAATAATTTTAAATTGGGTGTTTTAAATTTCTGGGGTTTTAAATTGAGCCGAATTATTTAATAATTTTAAATTATTTTAATTGATGTTTGTTTTGTGCTTTTAATAGGCTGTACACCACCCTGAGTCCTTCGGGAGAAGGGCGGTATAGAAATAAAATTATTCTTATTCTTATTCTTCATTTGCTGGGATGTAGGTTTGTGTCAGATCATGGTCTGGAGGGCTACAACGGAATGTGCCAGCGCAAACTCTTAACCTCCATGAAGCAGATGGAGAGTTACTCGGAGCTGTCCCGCAGTTTCCCCCCCACCTGCCTGGAGTGGACTGCCAACCAAAGGAAAGGCAAGATGGTGCTGGAAGTCTACACTTATGAAGGTAATTGTTGCTTTCCTATTCAGCACTCAATCAGTCAATCAGAGTAGAGCTGGAAGGGACTTTGGAAGTCTTCTAGTCCAACCACCTGCTCAAGCAGGAGACCCTACACCATTGCAGACAAGTGGCTGTCCAATCTCTTCTTAAAAACCTCCAGTGACAAAAGCACCCACAACTTCTGAAGACAAGCTGTTCCATGGCTTAATTGTTCTCACTGTTAGAAAGTTTCTCCTTAATTCGAGGTTGCTTCTCTCCTTGATTACTTTACATCCATTGTTTCTTGTCTCGCTTTAAAATGCGGGAATAGCATTTTTTAAAAAAAAGGGAACTGTGGAACAGTATGTGGAATGTACTGAAGTTCTCCGTTCCAAAGGTTTTAGTCTAATTAGCAAGATAACTACTACAACAAGCCTTCATATAAAATGTTCTATTGTTTTCCTTTGGTCTACCAAGAGACAAGGGTTTCCTGTCCCACTGCAATTTATAATGCAATGTTAGCATGAGAGCAAAATCAGAAATCCAGGTGATGAGATCAGACTAGGCCATTATAGTAGCAAAATACAGGAATCATCCCATTGTATCACCATGAAATCTGTGTCTCTCTGTCCTCTATGACAGGTTGGAGAAAGAGACATAACAGTTGAACCTCAGTCTGCTTTATGTTTTAAAATTGAGGGTATAGGAGGGAGTAAAAACATAGTGGTATGGAATACCTAAGCAGAGCTTACAATATTTCTGAGTAAATATATAACAGTAAGCGGTCAATCTTGCTTTGTCCCTAAAGTGAGCTGCTCACACTGCAACCTGATATGCCCATTCACTTTTGGCAATCCTTTCAATTATGAGGATGGCATCCTGTGTACCTACAAGAGAGGTGCCCAGAAGAATCCAACATATAGAATTAAACATATATATGAAACAATATATTTTGAGGAGCGGGGAGAATAGGAAAGAAATATGAGTAGCTGGCGCGCACTATATAGTATAGCAAGATTTTCTTGTACCGTATTTTCCGGCGTATAAGACAACTTTTTAACACATGAAAATCTGCTCAAAAGTCGGGGGTCATTTTATACGCCGGGTGTCGTTCTCCTGTAACCAGGCAGACCAGCCCGAAAGGCTCTGACGAGCCTTAAATGGCTCTGGTGATCCAAGCTCTGACGATCCCAGTTGAGTTGCCTGCTAAGCAGGCAACTCAGCTGGGATCGCCAGAGCCATGTAAAAGGAAAAAAGTTTTCCCCCTCCAGCTTGCTTACCTTAGCTGCTAGTCGCAACGCTTGCCTTGCTTCGCTTGCCTGAATCCATTCCATCAGCAAGCCACTCCCTGCCTGCAATCAAGCAGGCAAGGAGTTGTGGACTTCAACTCCCAGAATTCCTCAGCCAGCAAAACAAAGCTGCTGAGGAATTCTGGGAGTTGAAGTCTATAAGTCTTAAAGTTGTCAAGGTTGGAGAGCCCTGTTCTATTGGGTAAGTTTTTTTCCCCTTTGGGAACTTTAAAAAAAATAGTTAATTGGGTTTTTTTTAGTTGTTCTTTTTTAGACCTAGCCATTTTAGGAAGTTTTAAATTTAGCTTTCATATAAAAGTAAAAATAAAATAAAATAATATTTGTGCAGCTTTCTGAGATTTAGTGTGTTTCTGTAGTGTTTCACTCTAACTACACAAACACACAAAATCTCACAAAGCTGTATGTGGAATTTTGTGTGTGTAAAGTGTGAAAGTTGTTTTTTTGGGGCTTTTTGTGGCTGTGTGAGGTTCCTGCTTGTTGCAGGGGCCATTTTGGGTCTAGCACAGCTGCTTTTACATTGTGGGTGAGCCAATTGATGTTTTTTAATTTTTATTTGGTGTGCGTTGGAAGAGGGGTAGTCTTATACGGCAAGTATAGTCCAAAACCCTATATTTTAACAGAAAAAGTCGGGGGTCGTCTTATACGCCAGAAAATACGGTAGATTATATTCATTGGTTTTTAAACTCTTTCTTTGGTTTAGAGGAGAGGATTTCAGCAGAAGTAGAATCTTGGACCACAGGAGAGCTATATGCAGGCTGGATCCTGAACTCAAGGTAATCTAAAGGCAAAGAGAAATTGGGATTTGCCTCTTTTTTTTTTTTAAACAGTTAGTTGTTTTTAGATGTCCACCAGAGCTAAAAAGCTGTATTCTTTGATAGTCTCCAACAGAGATCTCCTGTTCCTTTAAAGACTCATCCAAATGATCTACAAAACTATCCTTTATTACTTTGTAGGCTTTGCAAGGGAACTCAAAAGCTTGGGGAAAGCAGAATTTTGAAGGAAAATGATAAAGTGTGTTTCATTTACTCTTGAAACCATCATCTGAATTCAATGGCCCTTACTAATTATTCAGTGGTGACTCTTCTGCAGTGAAAGATTTGATATTAATGGACTATCCATCCACTGGATATTAATTAATAAATAATTAATTTAATTTGACTTTAATTAATTTTCAAAAGCCCAACTACATCTCAGTTGCATAGGCCCTATGATAACTTGAAATCTGTTAGCTTTTCTGGGGCACTTTAACATATTGTTTATGTGAGATGTTAACTAGCGCATAAGAAATGTTGTGCAGAAGCTGGAGGAGGAACATATGGTTTTCCTCCCTATCTCCAACTCATACCATCTTCCTGGTCCTTTTCACTGCTTCATAGCATCCTCTGCTACCTCCTGTGACACTGTGTCTCCTCACTTTGTTGATCTCAGGGGTTTGGATACAGTCCCTCGTGGATGGTCCATATCAATGTTCACCGGCAACAAATGGCAGGATTTAGCAGGCTGTGACTTTGTGTTGGATCTCCTTGGTGAAATGGAGGACGTAAATTGCCCTTCTCAGCCCTCCTCTAATTATCCTATTATCCCTGAGAGGGATGTGAGCTACTCTCAGAAGAACTCTCCAAATAGGTAAGTGACTGCCTCATTATCACCTGTCCCCAGCAACCTCTCTCTTGTATCCCCAGAAATCTCTGCTTTTGAGACCCTCGCTTTTATTTCTTTTTTGATAGGATGTCCTTGGATATCCCTCCTGCACCAACCTTTAAGGCCCCTTCTTTCCCTCCACCTCCCCTGCCTCCCATGCTTGACAAGGCAGTCCATCCAGGTGAGTCTCCATCTCAGGTCAGGAGTTCAAAGGCATCTGAGAATGATGGGGAGGGAATTTGACCTTTGCATCCTAAAGCCATAAAAGCTCCCCATATGGGTGGGATGGGGAGATACTCAACTAATGCATTGGGGATAGGTAGAGAAAAGAGCCTTTATAAAGAGCCTTGGTGGCGCAGCAGACTAAAGTGCTGTTAAATAACACCAGTTGCCTGCAATTACTGCAAGTTCAAATCTCACCAGGCTCAAGGTTGACTCAGCCTTTCATCCTTTCGAGGTAGGTAAAATGAGGACCTGGATTGTGGGGCAATAAACTGACTTTGTATTAAAAAAAAAAACACCACTTAGGGGGGGCGAAAGCCCTACTAAGCAGGTATATACAAAAGTATGAAGGCTATTGCTTAACGCATTGTAAGCCGCCCTGAGTCTCCGGAGAAGGGCGGCATATAAATCGAACCAATCAATCAATCAATCAATCAATCAATCAATCAATAAATCAATCAATAAATAAATAAATAAAATGAGCAAGGGGTGGTAATGAAGAATGACAGGAGTTTTATTTCTTTGATTAACAATGATTTTATCCCTTCCTCCTCCCCCTTTCTGAATTAGACATCATGGATAGTCCAACTCCCCATAGAGAATTGGATCACTATGTGGATGGCCTCTTTAAACCTCTGTTACATGCTGGCTCCAGACCTCATATGTCAGTAAGTCTAATCTTATCTAAGTTTTTTTGCTGTTCCTCATACATCACTTTCTGATACCGGTGGGTGGGCACAGGGGTGGTATTCACTTACCTTCGCTACCGGTTCACAAATGTGAGGACATGTGTGCGTGTGCTCGCTTCGCTCATGCGCAACACCTCTGCATGTGCAGGATGTTCTGAGCATCAGAACGCAGAGCATCAAAAACAGGACGTGATGACATCCGGGCGGGTGGGCGGAGCCTCCCACAGCCACCGCTACCGGTTTGCCCGAACTGGATAGAACCGGCTGAATGCCACCACTGGGTGGGCACTGAGAACAGAACTGTGATGGTGGTTATGATCACTGCCTCTTTGCCACGCATATATGATCTCCAGGAGTAGCTAGAGTTGAAACTAAGTGTTGATATCTCTTTTTTCCCTGCCTCTCTGCAGGCTATGGAAAGTGAGGCAAACCTGACTGGTCGTATGAAAGGAGGTGGGAAAATTGGACCTATGAATCAAGGAGTCTATTCAGGTGAGAGTTTGAATGCGGGGAGGAGAGCAACAGGGGCTTACTTGATAGGATAGATCAAGGGTGTCAAACTCACATCATCACTGTGGCGTCACGTGACGTATCGGGACTTTCCCCCTCTACCCTAAACTGGGCATGGGGGTGGGCAGCACGTGATGCATCCGGCCCGTGGGCCAGGAGTTTGACAGTTCTGGGATAGATGGTAGCTTCTGTGACTGTTCTTTTTTTTAAAAAAAAGCAATTCTGGAATCGAGGCTTATTATTCACACTGCTGGGATGAGGATTATTGGCCTAAATATTTCTCCTTGCACCTAAGGAGGTTAAAAAAAAAAATGAAAGGGGAGGAAAATCACTGTACAAGGACAGCCTGAAAAATCTCTAAAAAGTGTCGTATAGAATTCTGTATGCTTCGGATACAGTAATTCCTTTATAGGGGGGAATGTAAAAAATGTTACAATGCTCATATTATTAAATGCATTTATAATTGCAGATATCTTTTACAAAGGTAAAACATATGTGCCCATACGTAACAATAATTGTGTTAAGGCCAAAGGCCAAAGGGTGGGGGCCAGTGGGTGGGTGGGGCTACATTCGGTGTATAAGACACACCTAAATTTTCACCCCCTTTTTTGGGGGGGAAGATGCGTCTTATACTCCGAAAAATACGGTACTTGTATTTATGACGGTTGCAGTGTCCCGGGGTCATATGATCCCCTTTTGCGACCTTCTGACAAGCAAAGTCAATGGGGAAGCCAGATTCATTTAACAACTGTGTTACTAACTTAACAATCATTCACTTAACAACTGTGGCAGGGAAGGTCATAAAACAGGGCAAAATTCATTTAATAAATGTCTGACTTAGCAAATGAAATTTTGAGCTCAATTGCATGCCCCTTACTACACTAGTTAAAATGTACCGTTAATTGAAAACCGGAGGATTTTTCCAATCACGGATTTGAACAGAACCTCAAGTGAATTTTATTTAGGGCCATCATATCTGGGCTGCAAAACTCCAGACAAATGCAAGGATAGCATATTGTTGCAATCTAGCGGTCATCCAAGTTTGTGCAACCCAAAATAGGGAGCCATAATCGGTTGTTAGTTTCATGGGAATAAGCCAGGCTCTCTTCTCTCAATCCATCAGGTTACCCTGGAATGATGACCATGCCAACTTTTCCATCTATGCCAGTTATGGGAGGAATGATGCCAGCCACCATGCCGGGAATGCCAGGTAACAAGAACACAATGACTTGAGGGCTCAGATTAGTGGTGAAATCCTGTCGGTTCTTTCCGGCTCATGCGAGCCGGTAGCGCCAGTGGCATGTGGTTCAGCAAACTGGTAGCGGTGGCAGCGCGAGGCTGCGCCCACCCACCCGGACAACATTACTTCCTGGTTTTAATCCTCTCCGCATGCGCAAAACCTTCTGTGCATGCGCAGAGGGTCAAAAATCAGACGTCACGATGGCACGCGCACTTCCAAACCGGTAGGGAAGGTAACTAGATTTCATCCCTGGCTCAGATGGGATGAAGCTTGTGTAGTTTACACAAAAATTGCTGTGCATTTAACAGTGTGTGGGGACATATGCATTGTGATTCTATGTGACCCCCCTGTCTCTTTTGCTTTTGCTTTCAGCTATGATGATGACTCAGCCCATGATGCCATCATTGGATCCTAACCAGGCAGCAGCACAGCAACAATCTGCCATCAACCAACAAGCCCTGTTTCTGGTATGTGACAGGGTTAGAGTGAAAGAGTACGCAAGACAGTGAATTGTCTTGGCTGGGAGTCATGCCTAGTTTGTCAGTTCCCACAACAATCTGAAGAAATCATTTCTTGTGCAATGCGAGGCATCAAAGGGCCAAGTTATGACTGAGCATCTAATACAGGGTAGTCCTCAACTTACGACCACAATTGAGCCCAAAATTTATGTTGCTAAAGGAGAAATGTGTTAAGTGAGTTTTGTCTCATTTTACGACTTCCCATGCCACATTTGTTAAGTGCAGTTGTTAAATTAGTCACAGGGTTGTTAAGTGAATCTCGTTTCCCCCTTGACTTTGCTTGTCAGAAGGTCACAAAATGTGATCACGTGTCCACAGGACACTGCAACCCCAAAAAATGAGTCAATTGTCAAGCATCCGAAAGTAAGTCATCTGACAATGGGGATGCTGCAACAGTCATGAGTGTGAAAAATGGTTATAAGTCACTTTTTTCAGTGCCATTGTAACTTCAATCGGTCACTAAGCGAATTCTTGTAAGTCGAGGTCTACCTGTACTAGGGAATGGGTTTAATAGAGGGGGAAATTGCCTCATGGGAAGGGGTTTTCTTTTGCCAAATTTGTGCATGATTGAAATATACAAATCAGTGAATTCCTGAATTAAAGATACACCAGTGGTAACAGATTTACAGGTAGTCCTTGACTTACAATAGTTCGTTTAGTGACCGATCAAAGTTACAACGGCACTGAAAAATGTGAGTTATGACTGTTTTTCAAAGTTAAGACCTTTGCAGCATCCCCATGATCATGTGATCAACATTCAGATGGTTGGCAACTGGTCCATATTTATGACCGTTGCTGTGTCCCAAGATCGTGTGATCCCCTTTTGAGGCCTTCTGACAAGCAAAGTCAATGGGAAAGCCAGATTCACTTAACAACCGGGTTACTAACGTATCATCTGCAATGATTCCTTTAACAACTGTGACAAGAAAGGTCATAAAATGGGGCAAAACTCACATAACAAATGTCTCATTTAGCAACAGAAATTTTGGGCTCAATTGTGGTCATAAATCGAGGACTGCTGTATTCATTGTGTTTGTGTTAAGCTTTACTTAAGAGCAAGGCGGGAGATATTAGAGAATAATAGATGTAGAAGAGAAACATGAAGAGAACAAGAAAAAGAAAAAATTAAAACATGAAAAGTGAAATCATAGTTCAGTTATGATTAAAAGTAATCTGAGATCTGAATGTTGGTGGATATAAATCTGCAAAGTAAATAAGAAGCAACAAAATATGAATTTGATTTTGTAGGCTCAGCAGATGACACTTCAAGCCATGAAAATTTCAGAACAGGATCAGCAGTGGCAACAGAAGTATAGATCTCGTGAGCATTCACACCCAAACCAATTATCTTCACATAGATCACATGAATATTCAAGGCAAAGACAACCCTCACCATCCAGTTCACCTACATTGTCAAGGCCAAGACGAGCATCACCAAAGAGGAGGACATCTGAACATTTAAGACGAAGGCCATCATCATCAGAAAGCTCACCTGAATCTTTAAGATCAAGACGAGTATCACCAAGGAAGCGATCACCTGAAGCTTCGAGGCCAAGACGAGTATCACCAAGGAAGCGATCACCTGAACCTTCAAGCCCAAAGGAAACATTACTCCTCAAGAGGCCTCCTGAACTTTCAAGATCAAAGAAGATGTCAGTAAAGGAAGAACCTTCTGAATCTTCAAGACCAATACAAGATTCTTCTTCTCCTCCACCTCCACCACGATCACCGGTACTGAGTATTCCTTATAGAATTCTTTTTCTGGATAATACTGTCCACTGAGCCTGCATGATGGAAGAGAGGGAGAGAATCCTATTACTTCATTTTATAGAGTATAGAACACGACATCCCCCAGATACATATTTGTTGTATCTGAATTCCAAAAAGCTCAGAATACATAGATAAGGTCATCTTATTTTAGTTATCTGCTAATATGTTTTATATCTGATCATGGATTTGAAAATTAGTGTGTTAATCCTACAGTTGACCCTGTAGGATCAACTATATTCAGCTATTTAAATTTCTGGCTGTTTATAGTTAGGCAGCTGATAAATTTAAATCAAATAAATAAAATGAAGTTCAAGCTTTCTGCCATTTTATTTGCTCTTAATTTAAAAGACTTGGCCCCAAATCTTACAAACGTCAGGTGACAAGGTAAGTCCATTTTCTGTTGTAAAAAGAAGCCTGCATTAAGTTCTTCCATTTAATCTTTGAGCTAACGTAAGTACACTAAAATGTGCAAATAGATAAAATGTACCACAAAATGAACCGAGAAAAGGCTAGAATAGAATCATTTCCTCCAACATCTTGTTTTAATTCATATTGTTCTGAAGTGAATTGAAGGAAGAAGTTTCTTGGATGAGAAGCAAAAAAATATTCAAGGAAAAACAAAGTCCAGTTGCCTTTTGAAAAAGCACCTTCGGGACAACCATGACCTGGATGACTGTGAATCTCCATAGACTTGTTTATTATTTATTTATTTATTTATTTATTTATTTATTTATTTATTTATTTGTCACATTTTTATGCCGCCCAATTCCTGAGGGACTCTGTTTTATGTCCTGAGGGATTTTCCTTAATAGATTATTTTGTTACTTCTAATATTTTTAAAAAATATTAATATTTATATATTAATATTAATATTTGTAAAAAAAAATAGGCTTGGTTTTTGGTAGGTGATAGAATTGCCACGAAAAGCATCCATCTACTTGGAGAAAGTTGCTCAGGAATGTCTCCCTTGGAGTTTAAGATTCTTCTGAGGATGAAATGGTAGTAATGTGGAAAAACCGAGTCCTCAAAGATGGATTAATGAAATCTCTGTCAGGATTAGAACATATTAGGGAAGATAGCCTCTTTTTTTTTTTCCTTCAAGGATGCTAATATGTTTTGAACAAATGCTTTCCATGAATATTTTTATTACTCATCTGGGATTGGGAAAAGTGGATCTAGAACAGGACTGTCAAACTCCCGGCCCACAGGCCAGATGCGTCATGCACTGACCACACCCACGCCCAGTTTAGCGAAGGGGGAAAAAGTCCTGATATGCTACATGACACCGCTGTGACAATGTGAGTTTGACATTCCTGATCTAGAAGTATATTTGAATTCTACAGTTTAGCTATTTCACTAAAGAAGAAATCAAGGACATGATCCAAATTGTAACCCACCTTCTGGTATATATCCTAGATCCACATTTTGGAAGACGAGGTGCCTGTGGACATCAGGGTAGATTCCCTCTCTAGGGGGACTTTTCAAAAGAAAGTTGAGTTCTTCCAGAGAATGGGTGAGTTGTAAGCCAGTGTCCTTCCCAGATTGTCATATCTTCATTTTTTTAATACTAATGCAACAAGATCTTTATTGCAGCCTTCTCATACTTACTTCCAAGTAAAGTGCTTTTTGTAAGAATACGAATGAATTCTTGGGATGTGATTAGTCTTTTCGGTTCTCCAGATAAAAATTAATATTGATAACAAAAATAGGATGAGAACTTCTAATGACAAACCAGCTTTATGGTTCCATTGTCCGACTATTAGGATTCAGGACAAAAAAAAATACTTCCAGTCATATTCCCTGATACATTTACATGGTTTAGAATAATCAAAATCTTTGATTTGCTAAATTTGCCACCTTTGTCATAGCGGCATCTAAGTCTTAATGTAGTTCTTTCCCCCTATGTACAGGTAGTCCTACAACAATTCATTTAGTGATCATTTGAAGTTACAACGGCACTGAAAAAGTGACTTGTTGCCGCATCTCGGTTGCCACTTCTCCGTTGCAGCATTTCCATGGTCACGTGATCAAAATTCAGAGTCACGTGATTTCCTTTTGCCACCTTCTGACAAGCAAAGTCAATGGGGGAAGCCAGATTCACTTAACGACCATGTTACTAACTGAACAACTGCAGTGATTCATTTAACAAATGTGGCAAGAAAGGTCATTAAATGGGGCAAAATTCACTTAACAAATGTCTCACTTAGCAACAGAAATTTTGGGCTCGATTGTGTTTGTACGTCAAGAACTAGCTGAGTAGTCTACTTCTCACTGTCCATAATCCATAAACTTTTAAAAATTTAGCTGTATCAGTCTCTAAGTCCTTTGCAACCCCTGTTAGTCTGGTTTCTTGAAGATTTTGCTTACTCTGATGCCAGGGGTTCTATTCTATTTACCTTTACTACCAGTTTGCAATGGGATCGTGTGTGCACGTGCACGAGCGAAGCAAGCGTGCATGCCTTGCTTTTGCGCGTGTGCAGATCGCCAATGATTACATCCAGGAGGGTGGGCGGAGCCTCCTGCCAGTTTTACTACCGGTTCTTGTGAACCGGTCCGAGCCGGGGGCAACCCACCACTGTCTGATGCTAGAACAAAACGTAGATCAATGCCTGAACCTCTTCTTTTATATAGGACTTGAAACAATTCCATTGAAGAAAGTCATTTCCTCTTCAAAAAGTCATAGAATAAAAGAAAAGTCAGAGGACCCAAGTGCCAACCAAGAATCAAATTCAGGTAAGCTGTGAACGCTTCTGATCAGCATCTGAATACTGTAAAAAGCTCGTGCAAGAGGCTTGCAACAGCGTGATTCTTAATGGTGTTGCAAGAGGAGTCAAAGTGCTGCCATACCCGTTTTGGGAATGATCTGTTTGTTGCAGCAGATATTTTTGTAGATAATAGCTGATTTTGAAGGGGTCCTTAGTGCTCACTGTCTTACAGACATTTCATTATCCAAGCTAGGTAACATCATCAGTGTTAGTGAGGAGTGGGGTTTGCCCTTAGTTTATATTTTAGTGGTTTGCCCTGTCAGTGTTGGTGGAAGGGGTCTTGGAGATTCATTGGTTGGACTGTTTACTATTAGCTTATTTGGCAGTTCCTTGGTTGGAGTATTGTTTACTTCTTGATTGTTGGTCTGATATTAATCTTGGAAATTTTATCAGATATGATAAAGATTTAACTTGATTTTATCAGATATAATAAAGAAATAATGCCAAAACATTAATGCATGGAACAAGACATCAACTAAATGTTGACCACTCTTCAATCTGAGCAAACTACAGGACAGCCCATGAGTTTTTATATTAATCTTCTATAGATCAGTTTTTCTATTTGCCTTTCACATTACAGCATGTTCTTGAGAAGTTCCAAAACATGTTGTAATAGCATTTGTGGGTGAGAGTATGATTCAAATAGCTTCCTTCATATTAATCTCTGCAGAAGGATTATGATTTGGGCACAGAATAAAGAGACAGTGACATATTCATTCGTTCACTCACTCACCAAATCTGAGTTTGCTTTTCTATCCTGTTCCTTCAACTTTTCTATTCTGAAACAGTTGCTTTTGCTGTTTGTCTTACTGTCCATTCTTGTTACTTAAATATGCACACAGGATGAAAACAGCAAGATATTTGTGTAAGAAATTGGAAAGTAGCTGTTTAGAAAGTATTGGAAAATACCAAAACAGTTTATGTGGGAGGGGGGAGGTTTAGGGTTGTAATTAAAAAAGAAAAAAAAAGGAAAGGAAAATATACTCTTAATTCTTTACTTCAGATTTGCCACCTCCTACGCAACTGGGAAATTATCAGGAGAGGAAATTCCAGAATACGAATCCTGAACAGCCTGAACCAAGCCAGGAGATACGGAACATTATTAAAACCCATAAGTCTCATCCAGTCCCACCACCAAAACCCATCATGCCTGTTAGGTAAAGAAATGTGTCAAGTTGATCAAAGATCTCCCTTGGTGGTTGAAGTTGCAGAAAGAAAAGATTCAGGCCACCCCTAGAACTTCTCAGTTTGAGGGAAGGAGGAAAGTCTGTTAATGTGTGAGTTGGTCATTGACAAAATATTTGTCTCCAAATACTGGACATTTCTTGCATAAATGACTAACCATCTTGTCACAGGATTCCCTTCCTACAGTAGGAACAGCCATGGATCTTTTGTATCCACATATGTAAGAGAACTTCTATAAACAAAGTCTCTAAGGTTAGGTCTTTTGTTGTGCACCATCCATGGCGGTCCACACAACAGGTCATCTTAGCTGGTTTTTGTTTAATTGCAGAGACATCTCTAAACCTCTTACGAAATGTGAGCCAAAGGAGGAAGCTCTAGCAAAACTGGAGGCTCTGGGGTTGGATCATTCATCGGTGAGTGTTTGACGAGCTAACTTCAATCTAGTCTGTAGAAGGAAATGTCCTATCTAAATCTGCAGGCTTAAATTTCCAGTCAGCTCATAGTACTCACTGGGAAGTTTTGAATAATTCTCCTTTTCTTTGCCCAGCCTGTGGATAAAAATCAGATAAACCTATATCTGCCCCTGAAGGGAAAATAGAGCTTATTTTCATAAGGTATGAAAATAAGACATAACTATATGGCTGTTGTTATTACCACTCAGTCAATATCTTTGGAAATGTTCTGTCTGTTCTCTGGATAGAACTCAATCTTCTGAAAATAATTTTCATAGCCTGAACCAAGAGACACCGTGATTTGACTTAGAGATAAGGCGCTGTTAACTCTAGATGCTGTTAAAAGCTACTACTAATAAACTGTTATAGCATTTATAATGTTTGCTCCATTTAAATCATCCTAATGGGTCCCATCTATAGAACTCTATCAAATGAAATGAACAAATTAAATGGCAATTGTCTTCAGTAACTTAGCTTGCTAGCTGTGTGATGTGAATGAGTTGCTAATCATATGTGAGTAACCTACGGCCATGGCTGAACTGAGCCCTTGCTCTTCCGTTCTGCTCCCAGGTCTCCTCTGAAAAACTTAAGTCATCACCACCTTTACCACCCATCAAACCCTCCAATACCATCAAAGAAAAACAACTGGCACTCATAGGTGTTTTTGGTCCTGGCCGCTCGGTGCTTCCTCCTCCCCCTCCTGGCTCACCCCCTTCTTTTCCTCCAGATTCTGTCACGGATGAAACAACTGGCATGAAAGGTAAGCAAACCCTTTCTGATCCTGTAGATTTTGTTTGGCACCTCTGTTGTTGATTAAGTTTGGAAGCAGCCATCATTACAGGTGGAGTGTTTCTGTTTCTTTCACACTTAGATTCGGCTAAGACACTGTTGGAAGACACTAATATCAAAACCCAGCTCTTCAATCTTTCTGCTAGTGTCAGCTTCTCCTATGCTAACCCTACCTGGAAAATCTTCCTGCGGAAAGAGGTGTGTCATGGTCCCACCTCCTTGCATTGTTTTTCTGGTCATGTTTAGCTACTAAAATTAGCATCTCTGACTTCATCATGTCTCTCTGTAGTGACAGCATCTCCCACAGTTTGGGCACTTGGTGGCTAATCCTCTTGCAGCTCTCATTCTGCAAAATGTGTTTGGGTAATTTCAAGCCTACAATGTCCTGTATGCTTATTCTGGATGGTAGTCTTAGGGTTATTATGAACTCTGGGATGGTTGACGTGGGTTAAGAGCTGTGGTAGCGCAGTGGTTAGAATGCAGTACTGCAGGCTACTTCTGCTGACTGCCGGCTGCCTGCAATTTGGCAGTTCGAATCTCACCAGGCTCAAGGTTGACTCAGCCTTCCATCCTTCCGAGGTGGATAAAGTGAGGACCCAGATGGTTGGGGGCAATATGCTGACTCTGTAAACCGCTTAGAGAAGGTTGTAAAGCAGGGGTGAAATGCTCCCGGTTCGGACCGGATTGCCCGATCCGGTAGCGATGGAGGTCGGTGGTTCGGAGAACTGGTAGCAAAAATCCCTGCCCCCCCATTGCGCAGCTGAGCCGCGCAATCATCAGAGGCTTTTTTTTTTATTTTTAAAAGCATTTTTTCTACAACCTCTTTAGTCAAAAAAATGCTTTTAAAAGTTTTTTTAAAAGCCTCTGATGATTGCGCGGCTCAGCTGGGATCATCACAGTCTTTTAAAAGCATTTTTTTTTACAACTTCTTCGGCCGAAGAGGTTATAGAAAAAATGTTTTTAAAAGGAAAAAAAGCCTCTGCCGATCAGGCAAGTCAGCTGGGCTCATCAGAGGCTTTTCAGCCGAAGAGGTTGTAGAAAAAATGGTTTTAAAAGTAAAAAAAAAAAAAGTTGGCCATGCCTACTCAGTCATATTATTCCGCCCCCACCAAGCCACGCCCACAGAACCGGTAGTAACAAATTTTACATTTCACCACTGCTGTAAAGCACTGTGAAAGCGGTATATAAGTCTTAGTGCTATTGCTGTTGCTATTGTATCATTGGTAGCAATCAATTGTGCAGAGTTGGGATGGGCCTAGTGGTTAAGGCTCTGAGCTAAAAACCAGGAGACTCTGAGTTCTACTCCTACTTTGGGGATGAAAGAGGGTTGGGTGACCTGGGGCCACTCACTCTCTCTCAGCCCAACTCATCTCAGAGGACTGTGGTTGTGAGGAAAATAGGAGGAGGAAGGAGTATTAGGTATGCTTGCCACCCTCAATTATTTATAAAAACAATAAAAATGGGATTTTATAAAAAAAAAATCTTTAAAAATGGGGTCAGGACAATGGCTCTGTAGAAAGATGGGTGGCCAATAAACTTGGTAAATGAAAATAATAAATAATAAAAAGTGGTAAGCCTTTTTAATTACAGTGTGAAAGCATGTAATAATCCACTCACTGTGATGGAGATTAGTACAGACTGGTTAGAAGCAACATGTCTGATTGTATGACTGGCTGGAGAAGAATAGCATTCAAAAGAATAGGATGAGTTTAATTACTTTTCCTATGCCAGGATAGAGTTTTATGTCAATAAATCACTACTTCTCCAGCAAAATGAAATATATGTTATCAATGAATTGTGTTTGAATATATTAATGTACACAATCATTTACTATTTTGAGTCATGATTTTATTTTGCATATGTGAAAACAACTTTCTGTTGGATCTCTTCCTCAATAGGTTTTTTATCCCAGGGAAAATTTCAGTCAACCTTACTGCCTGAATCTGTTATGTGACCAGGTAAGTATTTGTGTGTGTGTGTGTGTGTGTGTGTGTGTGTGTGTATGTGAAAGAGAGAGAGAGGGGAGAGAGAGAGAGAGAGAGAGAGAGAGAGAGAGAGAGAGAGAGAGAGAGAGAGAGAGAGAGAAGGACAGACAGACAGAGTGACAGAGACAGAGAGAGAGACAGAGAGAGACAGACAGACAGACAGAGACAGACAGAGACAGAGAGACAGAGAGAATGTGTGTCTAAGAGATAAGAGAGACTCACATTTCTTTTTGTCATCAGCCTCTCTATCACAAGACTCCATATTTTATTTACTTTTTGTTCATTAAGTTTTGTCTCTTTCAAAGAATATACTTGGTTTATTCCATATGCTCTGTTTCAAAGCTTGACATTTGCATTATGAGTTGAATTGAAATCCATTTTTGTTCCTTCCCAGATCTTGAGAGATACTTACTCCAAGTCATGCATTCGAATTTCCAAAGAGGAGAGGCGCAAAATGAAAGACCTGTTAAGTAAGGAAGCCATGAGTCCTTCCTTGTCTTCAAGTACAGTAGAACCTCTGGTCACAACCATCATTCATTCCATAACTTTGGTCACAACCAGCTTTGGTCATGACCTGAACCTAACCAAAATTAATGCAAAATTAATGCAGCGGCCACATGAGGTCACTGTTATTTGGTGCTTACAAAAAACATGGCGTGGAAGGGGAAATTGGGCACGGCTGTATTTGATCGCCACCCGAGTATGTGTTTGTGACCAGATTCAAAAATTTTGTGATTTTTTTTGGTCGGAACCCGATTTGGTCTTGGTCAGAAGTGTTCGTGACCAGAGGTTCTACTGTATCATGGAGGCATGAACTTTCCATCTAAAACTGAAGAATTGTTTTCCATTCTTTTATTCATTAGAGTTATGGGAACTGCTATATGTTTAACCATCTTCTGCCTTCACAATCTGTTACTGAACCCACTTAAGACTCTCCTGCTAAGACAAATAACCCACTTCTAAATGTTCCTCACTCAGTGATAAATGTATTTAGGGACTGAAATAATTAGCTGCATTGTGTCAGATGAATTTCTGCTCAGTCCCAAGGTCCAGATGCTCAGGACTCTCAATCCATTCAATAACACGAGCCAACCCAGCTTCTCCCTTCCTTTGGAAGACAGAACTGCCAATGGCACATAGCTTATTCTCCACCCCAGGAGCCAGCCTCTTGTTTTGGGCACCTTGGAGGGGATTATTGCTCTGCATCACTTCCATCAAAAGAAGATTCAGCTGCCAGTCTAGCTGCTTTCTGGGCATGGAATGGCAACATGGCATTATGTTTTTCTTCCGTTTGGGCAGTAAAATCTCTTTCCTGCAAATCATTCTTCAGCTTCCCCACTCCAGAGAGGGTGGGAAGAGGTAGCACTGCTGTGCATAACCCGAAGAGATCCTGACCCAGAAGTATAAAAATCCAGGGTGCTTTCTACTAGCCATTTTAAATGCACATGTCCCAAAGTTACTTGATCCAACCTAATCTCACTGCCAGTTATATAAGATAAAGCCTTGTTATATATTCCTACTTTTTTTCAAAAGAAAAAAAATGTCTCAAAGCAGTGCTATCGGGATTTGTTTCTTTGAAGTGAATTTGCACTTGTTTTGAAATGTCTGTTTGCTTTATTTGCAAAGGTAAGAGGAAGCAAACAAGCACTTCTAAAAGGCAGGAAACAGTATGGGTAGCCCTCTGAAGTTGCACCCACAGTTTCACTTAGAAACTTGCATTTCTTTCTTCTCCCTTCAGCCTTTCACACACGCAAGTACTAGCATGTTTCCTTCTGCTGGCCCTATTCCAGAGTCTGATGGTTTCTCATTCAAAAAGGAGGAGAGATTCTCAAATCCCATAGAGAATCCCCAAAATCCCACAAATTCCCATTAATAAAATATAACCAAAGCTTTAGATTATTAAAGCAACCTATTGAATGCAAATTAATGGTCTGTTACCAGCTCCAATAGAAGGCTCTCTAATGCTGGCTGCAGAACATCAAATCCCTGCTTGCAAACTGTCCTTGGAAACAGTGCTCTCTTTGATGTGCTTCCTAAGTGTGCTAAAGTAATCTCTGTAGCTTGCTTCCATCAGGGGAACTGATCCATAAACTGAGCCTGCTGATTAAACTTTTCCTTTGTTTTGTTGCCTTCAGCCGAATTCCATGTGGGCATGGATGTCAGCTCCATCACAGAAGAAGGGATCAAGAAAAGAATTGTGGTGGCTGCTCGTGATAACTGGGCCAGCTATTTCTCTCGCCTTTTTTCAGTAAAAGTAAGTTTGCCTACCTCAGCCTTCCATAACGCGACAATCCTGTTATGTCTTTCCACTAAGATTCAGGGGCTACTTTCCCCTCAGGACTTCAGCTATTATAGGCAAATCAATAACAGGGCAGCCCTCTGGACCAAGCTCTCTGCTACATAAAGGTTGCCTGTGCAATGAAGGCTGACATTGTTGAAAACTGACCACGAGTAGGTAGACTGTATGAGCAGATAGGTAGGTAGGTAGACCACACCAGGAGTATGTAGACCACACCAGGAAGATTTCAGCCATCATGTTTAAGTCAGTCTCCAGAACATATTACTGCTTGTTTGTTTGTTATCCTCTCTATTTTTTATCATCTCAAGGCAGCATTCATACCTAATACTCCCATCTCTTAATTTCCTCACAACTTTGTGAGGTGGGTCAGCCTGAGAGAGAATGACTGGCCCAAAGGCACCCCACCTCCCTTCCTTGCTTAAGGGAGAACTAGATTTCAAGGTCTCTAACCCAGCACTTTAGCCACTACACCACACTGGCTGTCATTTTTATTATTTAATTGTATTTACTCCTTATGCTAAGCTCTACTTTATTTAAGTATAGTTTATAGACTAAAGGATTACTGGTTAGCGGTCTTCCAATATTTGAGGGCCCCCAGTATTGTCCCTCCCACATCTCTTGATTGAGTAGGGGATTGGACGAGAAGACCTTCAAGGTGACCTGATAGCAGTGTTCCAATATTTGAGGGGCTGCCAAAAGGAAAAGGGGGCTCAACCTATTCTCCAAAGCACCTGAAGGCAGGACAAGAAGCAACAAGATGGAAACTGATCAACCTAGAACTAAGGAGAAATTTCCTGACAGTGAAAACAATCAACCAATGGAACAGAAGTTGCCTTCAGAAGTTGTGGGGGCTCCATCCCTGGAGGCTTTTAAGAAGAGATTGGACAGCCATTTGTCTGAGATGGTGTAGGGTCTCCTGCTTGAGCAGGGGGTTGGACTAGATGACCTACAAGGTCCCTTTCAACTCTGTTATTCTGACTTGTACTTGGGTTGGGTTTCCCTGTACTGCTGAGCCAAGCCAGATAGGCAATATTTTTTCTTCACCTAGAATTTTCTCTTGTCCCATCATCTCATTTAATTTGGATGGGTAAAATTGCAAAACTTAGAATGAAAATAGGTAAGGATTTTTGTTTGTGTGTGTGCTAAGGACAGTGTTCTCGGGAGAATAATTTGTCAAGGGTAGATCTGGCCTGCCTCTTTTGTGTTCCTCTTTCTTCTGGCCCAGGGGCCTTGAAACAGAGCCAAGAGGCTGCACTTTTCATCCGTCAAACATTTAATCCAAAAACGATCGGCTCTTCCGATTGTCCACTAAAGTAATTGCTGTCCTTCTCACAAAAGTTTCCCTGCTGTCATGGAAACATTTTGTTAACTATTTTCTTCCTGCTGTCTGTTCCTTTCCTGATAGGGAGAAAATGGAAGTGATGTCCAGATACTGGGTATTTCTCACCGGGGTCTGCAGCTGTTGAAGAAATCCAAAGAAGCCAGTTTCAGTTCTGAATATCTGAAAATCCTTTGCAGCTTCAGGTGAGAGGCAACAAAATCCAGTATAGAACTGTTTTCTAAATTCATGAGGGAGGCCATTGCCTCCTTGGCATTGGAATCCCACAAACTCATTCTAACAAACCTGGCAAAGATATAGACAGACAAATGCTGAGTGTAGGTGCAGCAAATAATGCAGGTGAGTTGGCTGCATGTTGGAGAACATCAACTGACTCCACTTGATGAAAAACTCCGCTATAACCTGAGTTTGCACAGCAATTCCCAACAGACTTGCGAAAACATATGGCTTTTTATAGCTATACCGACGCATTTCATTTCTTCTTTTGACTTCTTTTTTTATTCCTTACCCTACTAGACTTCATGCTTGTGAGCAGGGCCTATTTTAGTCCTCTGCATTACTTAACTGTTTGATAAACTTTATATATTTTAGTTTGATAAACCAAAACAGCATACATACATAGCAATATATGTATTCAATTTTAAAAATTCAAATGTTCCCATATTCCCATTGAAACACAAATGCTTTGCTTTGATCTTCTCGTTCAACTCATGTTTGATTCACTTGTCTGAATCATTTTGAGTTATTCAACCTACAATTTTTGTGTGTGCTGTAGCGCCACCTGGTCTAGACTGTATTGGGGCAGATTAGAGAGATCAGCAAGTACAGCAGGGGTGAAATGTAAAATTTGTTACTACCGGTTCTGTGGGCGTGGCTTGGTGGTGGTGGGGTAATGTGACTGGGTGGGCGTGGCCAACTTTTTTTTTTATTATTTTAACTTTTCAAAGCATTTTTTCTGCAAATGCAAAAAAAATGCTTTGAAAAGGCTCTGCCGATCGGGAACACAGCTGGGATCTTCAGAGCCTTTTCAAAGCATTTTTTAAACCACCTCTTCCGCTGAAGAGGTTGCAGAAAAAAATGCTTTAAAAGTCTCTTTGACAATCCCAACTGAGTTGCCTGATCATTTTTAAAAATGCTTTGAAAAGTCTCTCTGACGATCAGGCAACTCAGCTGGGATTGTCAGAGAGACTTTTAAAGCATTTTTTTCTGCAACCTCTTCAGCGGAAGAGGTGGTTTAAAAAATGCTTTGAAAAGCCTCTGCCAATCAGGAATACAGCTGGGATCATCAGAGCCTTTTCAAAGCATTTTTTAAACCACCTCTTCCCCGGAAGAGATTGCAGGAAAAAATGCTTTGAAAAGCCTCTGAGATCCCAGCTGAGCCGCGCAATCATCAGAGGCTTTTTTTTTAACTTTTAAAAGCATTTTTTTGGTGGAAGAAGTTGTAGAAAAAATGCTTTTAAAAGTAAAAAAAAAAGCCTCTGATGATCGTGCGGCTCAGCTGGGTATGGTGGGGGGGATTTTTGCTACTGGTTCTCTGAACCACCCGCTGCCATCGCTACTGGATCTGATCCGAACCGGGAGCATTTCACCCCTGAAGTACAGGTTTCTAACTTGATAAAAGGGGAGAGCAGGTGACTTCTACCTTGGTACTTTTTGTGCTAGTAGATTTCTTATAACTTCAGGCATATTTTTGAGAATTCAGAAGCCATGTCCTAACAAAAATTATCCCAATAGGCTTGGTAAAGTAGGTGGTAAAGAACTTAGTCAAGGATGAAAGCCAAACAAGTCAGAGAATTCATGTTCTTTGACTTTTTCAGTTATGCAGATGTCCTTTCTTTGGAGCTGATCAATCGGAATATCCTTCAGTTCTCTCTGAAGAATGAGCAGCTCATCCTTCATTCTCAAAAAGCTCAGCAGATCAAGGCTACAGTGGAAATCTTCCTGAGAGAATTGAAACAGGTAAGAGCAAGATCATGGTGCAAGCCATGAATCCTTATAGGTAGACTGATTTTAGAGGTAACCCATCTAAAGCATTGGGCGCAAAGACAAACATTTAAACCTCAACCTATTTCCCCAAATAATTGAGCCCAACATTTCTGTTGTTAAATGAGACATTTGTTAAGTGAGTTTTGCCCCATTTTATGACCTTTATGACCATTCTTGCCACAGGTGTAAGTGAATCGTTGTAGTTGATAAGTTAGTAACATAGTTGTTAAGTGAATCTGGCCTCCCCATTGATTTTGCTTGTCAAAAGGTGATTGCATGACCTTGGGACAGAGTAACGGTCATAAGTATGAACCAGTTGCCAAGCGTATGAATTTTGGTCGCATGATCATAGGGATGCTGCAAAGGTTGTAAGTGTGAAAAATGGCCATGAGTCACTTTTTTCAGTGCCGTTGTAACTTTGAACAGTCACTAAATGAACTGTTGTAAGTTGAGGACTACCTATAATTTCAACCCCTTACCTCTGATTTTCTTCTCCCGTCCTTCCAAAAGGATTCCAACTATGTCATTGCTATGCGTACCTATGTCACAGATGACAAGAGCCTCTTAAATTTCAAGAAAGGCGACTTCATTCGACTACTTCCCATGAAGGGACTGGAGCCAGGTGAGAAAAGTTCAATCCAATGTATCCTCTTTCAACCTCAAAATATTCCTTGTCGAGAGTGAAACAGCTGCTTCAAAGACTGCCAACTGCAGTACGTGGTTTTGCAGGGGTGGGTTCTACTTACCTTTACTACCGGTTCGCAATGGGATTGTGCACACGCGCGAGCGAAGCACAGATCGCCAATGATGACATCTGGGCGGGGCCTCCCGCCGTTTTTACTACCGGTTCTTGAGAAACGGTCCAAACTGGGGGCAACCCACCATTGTGGTTTTGAGCATTTTAGAATTGTTTCATGCTCAAAACAGGTCTTGTATCGCCTTCTGAGCTCACAAACACAATATATTCAAAAGACTGTCTCTTGCCCTGATGTCTCACATTCAAAACAAGACGTTTCAAACTCAAAACGGGATGTTTCAAATTCAAATATGGCTGCATTTGTTGAGAGTTCTTAAGACTTTATTGAATACTTAGTAATGTGTTTGTCTGTCAGGAATTCAATTCTGTGAAATCTGTGAAATCATCTGGCCACAAGTAACTAAGAGTCTATAATGACAACATACACACACATACACTAATGCTTTCATCAGACAAGCACATCGATTAGCTAATTTTTGTGACACAGTCCTCAATAGCTATGCTGATTAAAGAATTCTGGGGAGTTTCAAACTCACAAATCAGGAGGCTATTCAGATTTGGAGAGGCTGCCCTGTGGCTAATACGTTGCAAAGACGATGTAAGTTAAAGTTGGCCAGCCTAATTTCAATCTTTTCTGTTCAGGTTGGCAGTTTGGCTCTATTGGTGGGCGCTCTGGCCTTTTCCCTGCTGGAATGGTGCAGGTGGTGGCAGCTCCCGATTACCTCAACCTCCATAGGAATCAACAGGAAGAAGTCCGAACAGGCTGGAAGAAAAACACAGAGGAGAAAATAGTTAACAAGGAGGTGAGGGCTCAAGCAGAGACCCAGGGGATTAGTCATGCAACAAAGTGAAGGGAGGAGACTACGGTGTTGCTGAAGAAATGCAAACCGTCCGCAGAGACTGCAAAGTCTGAAGACAATGCAAGAGATGGAATATGAATATCACAGGATGAATTTTTTTCAGTACCAAGAGTACCGGTTCTCTGATGACTGATTTTCTGTCTCTTCAGAACTCTGCCCCCAGCACTCTGACAGAGTCAGAAGTTACCAGGCCTAGCACACCTATAAACTCTCTTGATATTTGCCACTACCCTATGACGGAGTTTGCGATGGCACATTTCCGAGAAGCCCAATTCATGTAGGTATTCTGTAGCAAAAAGCCCTTTAAGCATACGCTATTGCAATCTACTGTTTCAGTTTAATTGCTAGCTGTGGCCCGCTTTGTATTTCTTATGTTATGACTGGCATGGGAAAAGATTTTTTGTTTGATGGTTGTAACCTTGTTCATATGTGTTGTGTGAAAATATTCAGACATTATCTAGGTGATGTTAATTAATTTCTTGTGTTAATGGGCTGGCTTGAGTCAAATTTTAAACGGATTTTAAATTGGAATGTTTTAATTACGGCCAAAATTATTTAATTATTTTAAACAGTTTTTAGATTTTGTATGTTTTGTATGTATGTCTTGTTTTTACTTTGGCTGTTCACCGCCCTGAGTCCTACATTGGAGAAGGGTGGTATAGAAATTTAAACAAATAAATAAATAAATAATGAAAAAATGGTGTATAAATAGGTTAAACAAACCAGTAAATAATAGTCTGGGACTGTGTTTCCAATTCCTTTATCATTGCAGAGAGGATCTGCTCCTTGTGGAAAACCCTTTGTTTCCCACTGTCAAGTTTATTTGGGCATAGTTTTTTTTTCCTCCAAACTTCTTCCATGTATACACTTTTGAGGTCACTTATTTCTCCAAGTTTTAAGACGCATAGAAGTAGTTGAACCTTCAGTAATGCCTCAGACACTGACATTCCGAATTACATTTTCATTCATGATACACACTGTGGAAAAATAAAAAAGATATCAGACAGCTACTGTAAATAAAGAACATGCCAAAGAAAGAGTCCTTCTAGCAGCTTTATTCCTATCCAGATATCTTGAAGAAACTGAGTTGTTGTTATATTACTTGCAAATAAGGCATTTTTTTCATAACCAATTGGCAACTGAAATCTCACATCTTTTGGGACCTTCATGGGATCAACTACATTATCAACTACATAACCATATTATGAGCCTCGGTGGTGCAGTGGTTAGAGGGCAGTACTTCAGGCTACTTCTGCTGACTGCCGGCTGACTGCAATTTGGCAGATCGACTCTCACCAGGCTCAAGGTTGACTCAGCCTTCCATCCTTCCGAGGTGGGTAAAATGAGGACCCAAATTGTGGGGGGCAATATGCTGACACTGTAAACCACTTAGAGAGGGCTGTAAAAGCACTGTGAAGCGGTATATAAGTCTTAAGTGTTATTGGTATAGCTATCAAGGATAGATGTTCAGTCAGTCATATAAAAAAAACCCTTCTGATCCTCCTCCTGAAAAATATTTCTTATGCCAGAAATGGAGTGGGACCAGAGTTTTCAATGGCTGGTGATCTATTTGGAAGATATTGCTACGCTGTCAGTATGATCACAGAAGCTACATCGATTCTTAGCTACTCAGATATATTTCTCCCAAGACTCCTTCTGATTCATTAACTCTACTATACTATACAGGTTTAGGAGCATCGGAGCGCTAGATAAAAATCTTCTTTGCTTGACTTTTTGCTAATTTGCTGATTAGAAATAACTGGATGATTCTGGAAAATGTCCCAAAGAACTTCCATATTTTTACAACATATGGAAAATACTGGCTATGTACAAAATTGCTATCCATTACAGCCAGTAAGTAATTGTACTCCAAAGAAGCATCTCCTCCTCTCCTCTCCTCTCCTCTCCCCCCCTCATGATTTAATTATCTCCAAATAAATATTTTTATATTTCATTTATATGCACGCACCGACAGCAAACACACACCCATGTGTATTCTCTGTAAATTATGATGCTTCATCCTGTTAAATTTCAACCAAATCCCAATCATTGTCTAAATTTAATTCTTTTCCCACCATTTTGTTTAGTGAAATCACTAAATTGATGTGTTGTAATCAATTCTTTTAGTGCATTTATTTAATCTGCAATGTTTAGTTTAATGTTTGATTTATTATAATCACTTTTGTATAATGGTCTTATACAGTATCTGCTTTTTATATATTTAAAATATGTGTCAATAAAGAATTAAATGTTGAAAAAAGTACGTGAACTTTTTAAATTAACAGTGCACTGAGGTTCATGGAGTTAAGAAACAGATTGCCAGTCTCAATTTGAGGAAACAGAATCTCAATCTGGGGAAATGCATGTGTTGATAAGAACAAATCCCAGACTATTGAGGAAAGCATATCTAAAGGGATGCCTTCATCTTTGATCCATGCAGAGATTTTGAATACCTATCATGATTAGTCAGACAGTATTTACTAGATATGATGCCCCTCAGAAGTGATCCTCAGTCTTTCAGATCTCGTCGTGATATATCAAAGAGGATGTTTTAAGCCTTTTGGGATCTCAAAACACCCATGTTCCAATCAAAGCAGCTATTTTTGAATTTGAAGCAGGATGTTTCTTACTTGAAATGGGGCATTTTGAATTTCAGATGGCTTGATTCAACACATTTTGTGCATTCTTCTTCGCTTCCAGCACACCTGCTCTAGCTTTAAGGATGCTTTGAAGTCTGTTCTATTAATAGCTGCATCAATATCATAGCTTTCGACTTTGTTGCAGGTTTATAAAGTAAAAAATGATGCAATTTCCTCTGAAAGTGTACTTATTGCTCACTTCATTTTGTATTTCACTCCAGAAAGCTTAAGATACCTCACGTAAAATGATCAAAATTGCATTTCCTCATTAACGGGTGGATAGAATTTCCCAAATTGGGACAAACCAAGATTTGTTTTTCAGGTAAAAGAAACCGTGTTTCCCGAGGCATACTAGAGGATTTTAGATTGGTGCACCTCCTAGTTCACTTAACTTGTTCAGGGTTAGCTAATGCTGGTAGAACTGTCACAGTTAAATAAGACCTATTGTAGTATTTCTGAGTTCCAATTTAATTTAAATAATAAATAATTATTAATAATAATTAATTAATAATAATTAATTTAAGCGGCTCTTTACATTGGTCAGTAAGTTTGTGCTGTTAGAGAACAAGATGTTTCAGGGTCCCAAATTTTCATAAAAGCTCACGGAATTAGTCTTTTCGAGCATCTAGCAATATTAATAATTTTAGACTAGAGCCTTTTCATTTCACAAAGGTAGAATTAGGTGACTTGGATAAATGGAAAGATTGTGTGTCATAAAAGAAATTGCACCTGAGAGACTTGTCAAGTAAATATTATTTAGCAAAGAAGGATTGAGAATGATTGTACAATCTTAGTCATAAATCATAAATTTATTTTGTCAAGCGTATATAAGATAACAAGTAAAAGTATAAACATTATTTGAATACATGAAAAGAGTAAGTAAAAAGGAATATTAGGACAGGGACGGTAGGCACGCTGGTGCACTTATGCACACTCCTTACAGACCTCTTAGGAATGGGGTGAGGTCAACTGTAGACAGTTTAAGGTTAAAGTTTTGGGGGTTTGGGAAGAAACTACAGAGTCAGGTAGTACATTCCAGGCATTGACCACTCTGTTACTGAAGTCATATTTTCTGCAATCGAGTTTGGAACAGTTTACCTTAAGTTTGTATCTATTATTTGCTCATGTATTGTTGTGGTTGAAGCTGAAGTAGTCATTGACAGGAAGGACATTGTGGCAGATAATTTTATGTACTATGCTTAGGGCGTAGTTCTAAATTGTCTAATCTTTTAATTTTAATCTCTTCTTAAAAACTTCTAGTGTTGGAGCATTCACAACTTCTGGAGGCAAGTTGTTCCACTGATAAATTATTCTGTCAGAAAATTTCTCCTTAGTTCTAGGTTGCTTCTCTCCTTGATTAGTTTCCACCCATTGTTTCTTGTTCAGCCATCAGGTGCTTTGCTTGACTCCTTCTTCTTTGTGGCAGCCCCTGAGATATTGGAACAGTGCTGTCATGTCATCCCTAGTCCTTCTTTTCATCAGACTAGACATACCCAGTTCCAGCAACTGTTCTTTATATGTTTTAGCCTCCAGTCCCCTAATCATCTTTGTTGCTCTTCTCTGCACTCTTTCTAGAGTCTCAACATCTTTTTTACATCGTGGTGACCAAAACTGGATGCAGTGTGGCCTTACCAAAGTATTATAAAGTGGTACTGACACTTCACGTGATCTTGATTCTATCCCTCTGTTAATGATTGTGATGTAAACACTGAGCTTGCTCATTGATTCTTAATTGTTTAACAGTGAGCTTCATTTGCAAGAAGCTGAATGGGGTACAAAATTTATTAAAACAATATGCAATATAATAAAAACACTGAAGCTGCATCATTAAAATAAAAATAGAGAAAGTAGCAAATACTGTACCTATGGTTATATAGGTACATGGCATAGATGGACTTCCATCGCCTCATTTTTTTACATGCCCTATTTATTCTTTCAGCGTGGAGAAACACGTATTCAGCTGATCATTTCTATTGAGTATTTTAAACCAAATGTTAAAGTTTTTAATTTAAAGATATTTGTGTCTTGAATCCAGTATTGGGAATTGCTTCAGTCCATTAGCATAGACGTAAGTTATTGCCTTGCAAAATAGATGAGAGCTCATAAACCATAGTTTAAAAATTATGAATACAGAAAACTGCTTTCCAGCATGTCAAGTTACATATGATTGACACATATTCCTTATAAAGATATTTTTAGCATAATTTGTTGTTTGAGTCTCTGCTAAGCAAAACGTGGCTAAGTGCAGTGTATGACTCCAGTTGTTATATTTGATTTTAGAAAGATCCCTCTTTTAATTTTAGAGTTTCTGCTAAAACCTGTTCACATTTGCTATCTGGTTGGGGTTGGTTTTTTTTTTTTTTTTTTTGGTAAAACACAAGTAACTAATCTGGAAAAGTGAGGGATAGATAGAACCTGAGACTTTCTTCAAATCATCGTACGCTTTCCCACTGAGCAAAGGTTGCAGCTGGGACTGACCGCTTGCTAGAGATTGGAGCATCTCTTCTAGCTTCCCATGATTCATTTTGTAGGTAACCAAATCCCCATTTTGTGTTTCTGCTAGGCTAGGATGGCATGGCATGGGAGATGAACAGATGGACCCTGCTCTCTTGGTTCAGCATACAAAGGTAAACCAGGAGGACTCCTTGTGTCTGGGTGCCTCCTCCTCTTTGTCATTTGGGATATGGAAAGAGGTCTTATTTTTTTTATACTTGTATTAAAAGTTCTAAAAAAGGAGATTAAAAACTAATACAAATTAATATAACATAAAAAAGTAAAAAGAAAATGAAATCAAAGAGAAAGTTAAAAATGCAAGAAAGGAAAAATCAAACTAGAAGAGAAAGAAAACAGACACAAAGAAGTAACCACGAATCTTCATTACAGCTGTTACAAGTACAATGATAAATTTAACCTCTTTCTCTAAAGTTACAGAAGTATTCTTTATATAATCTATCCTGTCTAATAATCAAAACTGTAAATCATCTTTTTCTGTGTTCTGCAAGAAGTCCATAAGGGGTTTGCAGTCGGCAATAAATGTAGACATTATCTTTTTTCTAATTGATAGAAGTTTTATTTTCAATACCTGAGTATGCAACCTGACCCCAAGCCCTGGAAGCAACCCCTGGAGCTATAGCATGGCTCCTGCCACCCCTCCAACAATTACTATTGAACTACACTTTGGCATGGGAAAGAAGAGGGAACATTATTCACATTATGTGGATTTTGTAATTACATGAAATAGGAACTAAAATGAAAGCTAGATTCAGTTGAATCAGGGGTGAAATCCAGCAGGTTCTGACAGGTTTTGGAGAACCGGTAGCGGAAATTTTGAGTAGTTCAGAGAACCGGCAAATATCACCTCTGGCTGGCCCCAGAATGGGGTGGGAATGGAGATTTTGCAATATCCTTCCCCCAGGAGTGGGAGGGAATGGGGATTTGGCAGCATCCTTCCCCTGTCACGCCCACCAAGCCACGCCCACAGAACCGGTAGTAAAAAAATTTGGATTTCACCACTGAGTTGAATTTAGTTTTTGTTCTGATCTTACTCACAGAGACCTACTTTGTGTAGAATGTTCCAACGTGCCATGTAAGGACCAAGTTCCTCCCTCTTTCAATTAGGCATGACTACCCTAAAACCATATACTGCCCTTGACTAAATATGCAGATCTTTTCCAAGGAACCAATCCAAATGATTTGTACATGTGATCCTTCCACTATATGAGCCTGTTCTGTTTGGAAGAAAGGCAAAATAAAGAGAAGGTAAGCTAGAAGAAGAAAATAGATGAGATGAAAAGAAAAGCAAGTTGGGGGCCTTTACCCATTTTTGGCTCTGCATTACAGCTTCATTACAGCATTAGCTGTAAAATGTGGCTCCCCAATGAATTATTCTTGTGCAAATTGACCAAAACCAGTGTTGCTTTGTCACATACTAAGTTTCATTGGGGAAAGAGGACATGCCCATCATTTTCTGCGCAACTTTTTAGAATCCACTGCCTCTGTTGAATCTCTGCCTTCTGCCTTTGTAGGTACCAATCCAGGAATCTCTCCTGTTTCATTCTGATGATGAGTTGAATGACTTGGCTACAAAAAATTTTTTGAGTATGTAATGGTCCATTAATGAATCAATGAGAAGTGATGGGTAGTCTAAGAGTCGTGGTTAGGATGCTAATTCTGCTGACTGTCGGCTGCCGGCAATTTGATTCTCACCGGCTCAAGGCTGATTCAGCTTTCCATCAAGGGTGGGTTCTACTTACCTTACTACCGGTTCACAATGCATGCGCAGAAGCGTTCTGATAACGTCAGGGTCGGTGGGAGGAGCCTCCCGCCAGTTTTACTACCGGTTCTATAAAACCGGTGCGAACCAGGGGCAACCCACCACTGCTTTCCATCCTTCCAAGGTCGGTAAAATGAGGACCCAGATTGTTGGGGAAAATATGCTGACTCTGTAAACCGCTTAGAGAGGCCTGTAGAGCCCTGTGAAGCGGTATCTATGTCTAAGTGATATTGCTATGGCTAGTGCTATTGACACAGCACTGATTAAACTTTTATTTATTTAGCTATGGATTCAGGAAAGGTACTGAGAATATTTCTACTTTTACTAGTTCTCCGAAAATCAACTATCAGGACTATATTTTTGCTAGGACAACTCCATATTTGTTGCTTTTGAATTTTTCAAAACTTTTCCAGTTGGCAATGTGATAAATAAAAGAAGAATGATGGGGACAGGAGCAGAGGTGGGTTTCACCAGGTTCTGACAAGTTCTGGAGAACCCGTAGTGGACATTTTGAGTAGTTTGGAGAATCGATAGTAAAAATTCTGACTGGCCCCGCCCCCATCTATTCTCTGCTTCCCAAATCCCAGCTGATCGGGAGGAAATGGGAATTTTGCAATAACCTTCCCCTGGATTGGGGAGGGAATGGTGATTTTACAGTATCCTTCCCCTGCCATGCCCACCAAGCCATGCCCACCAAGCCACACCACACCCACCAAGCCATGCCCACAAAACCGGTAGTAAAATAATTTGAAACCCACCATTGGGCAGGAGAGAATGGATTAGTAGTTAGGCATCATCTTAAAATGAAATGTGAGAAGCGGATGCAATCAAATACTTATTTTAGACACTCAACCTGTAAAAAAGGGTTTGGTTATGCATAGACATTTTAAACGCTGTTGAAATGATAAACCTTTTTTAAATGCAATGCTTGATCCCCTCCCCACTTAAAAATATTTGCATATTCTTTAGGAATATTTTAGACCCCAGGCAGCACTGCAAGTTCTTATGGGATGGTGCTTATGCAAGAACTTGTACAAGAACAGTAAAATCACACTGCATTCGGGTCGATAGTTTTATTGTATTGTATTGTATATAATTGGGGATCAACAGATGTTCACAAAAGTTATATTGCTAATTCTTATTCTGAATCATCCTCTTTAGAAAAATCACACAAATTCACTGGCAGTTTCTCTTTCCTAAGTGGAAGATAAATTTAGATATATTGTACTGTGTTTGAGGTGATGATAATACTGATCAAAACAGAGGCCCCTGAATCTTCTCTTAGGAATCAATGCCATAACTCTATATTTTACTTTTCCAGCTAAGATTAATGCTGATTTCTTATTTTGAAGCTCTGATGAGGTTCATGGGACACCAGCCAGGCCTCAAAAAACAAGATAAAATGGATTATATCTATGATATCCTTCAGGTATGTAGCTCTTGTGGTGGATTTGTGTAGATAACAGTGACTTAATGAGACCTGGAAGGTCATCAGATTTCTACTGAAGGGGCATTGATGGCCTTGAAAGGAGATTGATTTTGAGATGCTTATTTTCCCTTTCTATTCCCCTTAGATAACTCTATGAACTCTTACCTTAAATTAAATTATGCACAGTTTAAGAATTTGCAAAATACCAGTCATAGATCAAAGATATCAAAAGGGAGCAAGACATTACAGCTGACAATCAAAATAAAGTAGGGAATGGGAAGAGGGAAAGGAAGCAAAAATGTTAGGAAAGGAAAGACCGCAAGTTCTCAGAGTCATTTCAAAATATGAGCTCTTATCACTAATGGGTTGATATGTACTTTGCACTAATGGGTTGATATGTAGTTTGGTTTATTCCAAACTATGGTAAACTAATCCTGTTGCCTTGAGACCTTTTTGTTAAACTTTTGAAAAGATCTGAGTTCAGCAGTAAATTCATTCCTGATTTCTTTTCTGTGGCACCACATAACTTGCCTTTTTGGCCTCCAAATTCTGCTTGCTAGAGCTGTAATGGCTAAATGGAATAAGAAATCCCAGTTTCTGGGTTCTTCATCAGAATCAAATCTCATATACTCCTATCAACCACAATGCAGATTATCATGAGATACTGACCTCAATCTGACCTCAGAGTCCAATGAAAGTGTCAGATAACACTCCAACCTTGGGAGTTCAGGATCGCAAAGTACAATTGGGGATCATTGCAGAAAAATGTATATTCCAGTGTTTCTCAGATCAGAGGTAATCCTAGTGCCTCCCATGTGGCCTGCAAGAAAAGAGGAAACTAAATTCTTTTTTTCCCCCTGGGTTTTTACAGAGGTGCAAAGATAAGAAGACTGTGCATGATGAGGTTTACTGCCAGGTTATCAAGCAGATCACCGGGAATCCTAATCTGTAAGCATCAAAGAATGTAACACTGATTCTTCACACCTTGCATGGGTTGCTGTTTGGTTCCTGACAAATGTTTAAAGTGTTGGTTTTAACTTATAAAAACCCTGTACTGTGTGGCACATGGTCACCTGCAGGAGTATCTCCTCCTATTGCTATCAGCCAGGGGTGGGATTCTATCGGTTCGGACCGGTTCGAGAGAACCAGTATCTCCAACAATCAGCTGGGAGTGAACCGGTTCGCCCTGACATTCAGATGGGCCCACTCGCCCGCCTGCACTATTTTCTGATCTTTATCTTCTCAGCTGATTCGTGTGGTAGAGCAGATTGCCATGCAAATCAGCTGTATTACTCCTCCGAAGAAACCAGGAAGTGAAGATTTCTTGAAAGTGTGCACGAGCGTGCAGCGATCACCGAACCGTTTGTTAAACCGGGAGGATCCCACTACTACTATCAGCCCAAAGTACTGGTTCATTTAATAAGGAACTCCTCATTGCTCCACACTACCAAGTGGCCACAGGAACAAAAATCAGAATGTGCTCCTTCTCCATGGTGGTACCAGCACTCTCCGTAGACTCCAAAGGAATGTCAGAGTAGCCCTCCTTGTTGGCTCTGGAAAAAAAATGTTAAAAAGATAACAGTTATCAGAGAATGTATTAACTGAGTTTATGCACCAGGCCATATTCTATTCCATGTATTTATTTTTGTGGTATTTTATTTTGGTAATGTAGGGTCTTTGGGTTGGGGTTTGGTTTAGGTTTTAATTAGTGTGATTTTATCACACAGTACATTTTTAATCATAACATGGTATTTTTAATATGTAGTATACACTGTAAGTGATGTAAGCTGTGGAGAGTTGTTGGATTCCAATGGGATATAAAGACAATAAATAAATAAATAAACAAACAAACAAGGAAAGGAAAAAAGTGAAGATAGGAGCAGTGACACATTGGTTTGATGGACTCTGTTTTGGGAATTTACAGATAGTTTATTTTTCTGTTACGTTGTTATATTTTTAGTTCACATTTTCTTTTATTCTTACAAAGTTCTACAGAGGACACTAGGCTAAACAGTGATAGGATAAAAATGGGTTAAATATGGGTTGTCCTAGTTTTAACTTCAAGAACACAATTAGGGTATATTATCTCATAGGTTTCTTTTTAAAGATACCACACCGATCCTGATCTTGGGTTTATGTTTTTATTTAGTGCCATCAAAGATCATCAATCTTTTGATGATCATAGCCTCACTTCAT